AATAGTCGGGATCTGACGCGTTAACCGAAATATATTGAAATATGCATGCAGTATTATAAATAGCAATTAACTACAAGGGTTGACATGGGTATAGAAATATGGTCACCTCTCTATCTATGATGAAGAAGGGTTGTATAAATACGCAGTCACGTCTGATCGAAATGGGAACGTAAATTCCAATGCCTTTGTTTGGGAGAATGTTACACAATTAGTTTCAGCTTCTGTCTAAGATACCCTCTTTTAATAGTGACAGGAAATGTTCGCCCGTCGACCTTTTTTGCAGAAACTATTGTTGTGAATATAAAGTGGAGATGCGTCAATAAAGCAGCAACCTATCGACACAAATAATTAAAAGCAATCTTCCTTCTTCTTCCTTAACTTCAATGTTATGCTGGAAATATTTCCATGGGATGTTAAGCAACAAAAATCAATGATTATTTCCATTAAATCGTATCTTTACGATAGTCAATATAATTCCTACTATTACATACTACTTTCAATACAATTGCCACTATTACATACTACTTTCAATATAATTGCCACTATTACATACTACTTTCAATATAGTTGCCACTATTACATACTACTTTCAATATAATTGCCACTATTACATACTACTTTCAATATAATTGCCACTATTACATACTACTTTCAATATAACTGCCACTATTACATACAACTTTCAATATAATTGCTTCTATTACATACTACTTTCAATATAATTGCTACTATTACATACTACTTTCAATATAATTGCTACTATATATATTACATACTACTTTCAATGTAATTGCCACTATTACATACAACTTTCAATATAATTGCCACTATTACATACAACTTTCAATATAATTGCTACTATTACATACTACTTTCAATATAATTGCTACTATTACATACTACTTTCAATATAGTTGCTACTATTACATACTACTTTCAATATAATTGCTACTATTAGTACTACTGCTGCTTATATTTTTATCTTATTCTCATCATTATTATTACTTTTGTTGATGTGTTTGTTTAAAGGTTGGACGTTCGGTAACATGACGGGTATCATTAATGAAGCCAGAACTATCTACCCTTTCGGGGCATGTACGTTCATCCATAGGTTTTGATGGGGTTCATGTTCCCCAATAATTAGTTTTCTGTGTAGAGTTCTTCTTTTTTTTTTTGCATGGTCTTGTCTGATTTTCTTCAACTTATGGTTGTTACATGTATTGACTCTTTGGTGTATCGGCCGTACAAGACCGTATAAGGTATGAAGCACGGAGCAACCTGAGGTAAGAGGTAGTGGAAACTTACATGACGTATATACTTATGATCTTTATAAGTACATGCAAGTCTGTTATGTTCGTTGTTTTGCATTATGTAAACAATTTTTCCGATTTATTCAGTGTTAAGCAACAAACTTTTATTTTACTAACTTGAATATCATGGTATAAGCACGTGTGTATTGGCAGATTCTCATATTGTCTAATGGTAGATGGCATTACTAGTCCTGATTGACTACAAAGATATATTCATATGCATTGTATGCAATTACGTAATTGATATGAAAAGCCTATATTCGTGTTACCTTACTTTGGCTCCAGAATGAAGTTAAAATTGGATAATTAACCCGATATTACGTTTTTATGATTGCAATTTCTGCACATCCATTCATTAACATATATCACCAGTTGAATGATCTAAGCTGTATGTATGCATTTACTGAAAAGGAATATGTTTTTGCCTAAGTTGCCGAAATGTGTATCTCTAGCAACCTTTATTTTTCAACTGCATTACCTTTGGTAGTGTTTTTGAAAATTTTACATAACAATATTTTGTCGCCTGTTTCAAAATTTATCAGTTTGTTTTAATGGATTGCTTTGACCCGAATGTATGTGTCCATGCATGAGCAATTTACAACTAATAGAACTTTTCTCTACACAGTAATATCACTCACGTGAAATTCACATTCACCTCAAACATGCTTATACGTGAACCTCACGGGAACTGATTTCACGTGAAATTCACATTCACTTCAAACATGCTTATACGTGAACCTCACGTGAACTGATTTCACGTGAGTTTCACCTGAATCTCATGTGAATTTCACGTGAATTTCTTTTGAAAATTTTCACGTGAGTTTTATGTATAAGCTCGTTTGAGGTGAATTTCACATTAAGTTTTTAACGTGAATTTTACGTGAGATTCATATGAATTCACGTGAGCAAATTTTGCCTGTGTATATCTTTTACGAGCTGTTTAATTTTTTCGATACTTTTATGGTCTCAATATCAATTTGACATATTGTATAAACACATGTCTGTTGACATATTGCATATTCGCCTGTCTATTGGTATAGTATATAGACATTTGTCTGTTGACATATTGTATATTCACATGTCTATTGGCATAGTATATAGACACATGTCCGTTAACATACTGTATTCACCTGTTTTTATACGACCGCAAACATTTTTTTGGGATCGTATAATGGTATGATGTCGTCGTCGTCTGCGTCGTCGTCGGAAGACACATTGGTTTCCGGACAATAACTTTAGTTTAAGTGAATGAATCTCTATGAAATATTTTCAGAAGGTTCAATACCACTAAAGGAAGGTTGGGATTGATTTTGGGGATGATGGTCCCAACCGTTTAGGAATTAGGGGCCGAAAAGGGGGCCCAAAACAAGTATTTTTCTAGTTTCCAGACAATATCTTGTGTGTAAGTGTATGGATCTCTCTGACATTGTACCACAAGGTTCCATATAACAAAGGGAAGGCTGGGATTGAGTTTTGGGTTAATTGCCCCAAACATGTAGGAATAAGGGACCAAAAAGGGCCAAAAACAAGCATTTTTCTAGTTTCCAGACAATAACTTGTGTGTAAGTGTATGGATCTCTCTGAAATTGTACTACAAGGTTCCATACTACAAAGGAAAGGCTGGGATTGAGTGTTGGGGTTATTGCTCCAAGGGGGGTTTAAGAAAATGGGGGGGGGGGGGGGGGATTTTTTCCCAATTTGTTTAAGGGATTCATATTTTTTTTTCAAAATCTTTAAAATTTCGAATTTTTGAAAAGTTTCAAGAAGAAATCTTCAATTGCACAGTATTGTGCAATAGATTTATAAGATCTTTGACCACATTTATTTTGTGTCAGAAACCTATATTATGTCAAAATTTTGATCACAATCCAAATTCAGACAGTATCAAGCTTTGTCCAAATTTGCCCCAACTGTTCTGCGGTCGTATCAGGCTACGCTCAGTGAAGCATTTTATTTTGTATAGTATATAAACACAACCCTGTTAACCTATTGTATATTCACCTGTCTATTGGTATACATGTTTGTTAACATATTGTATTCACTTGTTTTTTGGTATAGTATTTAAACACAACCCTGTTGACATATTGTATATTCACCTGTCTATTGGTATATTATATAGACACATGTCTGTTGACACACCTGTGGATATATTAGATAGACACTAGTATCGACATATTGTATAGACACATGTCTGTTGAAATATTGTATAGACACATGCCTGTTGACATATTGTATAGACTCCTGTCTGTTGAAATACTGTATAGCCACCTGTTTGTTGACATATTTTATAGATATTTATCTACTGACATATTGTATAGACACCAGTATCTAGACGTATTGTATATGCTCATATTTTGACGTATTGTATAGACACTTGTCTGTTAATATATATTGTATAGACACATGGCTGTTTTGTTGAAATATAGTATAGACATATGTCTGTTGACATATTGTTGACACTTGTCTGCTGACATACATGAAGAACAGGAATAAAAGCCCTGTTCATTGATAATTTTCTATGTTTTCTATGTATTGTGTGCGATTTTGTCCCATGTACATTTACACCATATCCTTTCATTTACTATTGTTTATACACATGTCTGTTGACTATTGTATAGACACTTGTCTGCTAACATATTGTAGACAAATGTGTGTTGACAGATAGATATAGGAAGATGTGGTATGAGTGCCAATGAGACAACTCTCCATCAGTCTGTATAGACAAATGTATGTTCTATCTAGATTGTCTTTTTAGTATTTCATACTAATTAATTGTTTTTTCCCGCTTTCATCGTCATCCTCACAGAAATTTGGTCCAAGGTTTTTTGTAAATTTTCTATTTTAAAAACTATTATTCATTTTTTCGAAAGTTAATATAAAAATAAGAAGATGTGGTATGATTGCCAATGAGACAACTCTCCACAAGAGACCAAATGAAACAGAAATTAACACCTATAGGTCACCGTACGGCCTTCAACAATGAGCAAAGCCCATACCACATAGTCAGCTTTAAAAGGCCCCAAAATGACAAATGTAAAACAATTCAAACGAGAAAACTAACGGTCTAATTTATGTACAAAATAATGAACGAAAAACAAATATGTACAGCTTAAATTAAATCATTGAAATAAAAAGAAAATATTTTTTGAAATTTACAGTCAATTCTAAATTGTGTATTTCACAGCTGTTAAACTTCATTATAGTGAAAATTTTCGATTAAGATAGTCATAACATTTGTTTCTAATTAAGTAATTGAAATACATTTTTGTCATTACAAATGGTAAAACTTAGACATGCACAGCTGACGTTAGCATCAAAGATGAACGTATAGACAGATAGTTTATTATACTATCATTAGTCTTTTTCTACTCTATTTCAAATGTAAGAATACATAAAATGGAATTTAAAATTAGTCGTTAGAATTGGAATCACAATGCCTGAATTCAGACCAAGGTGTTCATTTCTTTTTGATTGTCGATTTACGATTTTTTTTGTTGTGCATTACAACTTATGGGAAATTAATAATAATATGAACAGTGAATGTTAACACACTTAGCTAATTGTCAAACCAATTTATCATTAATTACGTGATTATGAAGTTGTTTATATGCTTGATTACGTTAAATATCATAAAAGCTTATTGTTTCCTCTGTTACAGAATATTTTAAAAGACAACAAGAACTCATGACAGCTGTTCGTTGCCCATCCAACCGTGAAAATTCAGAATGACACTATATAGAAATGTCTGAGCGGACAAGACGACATGACATCTTGCATCATGACCACCGTTAAGCTAGTGACGTTATTATTAATGGTATATGTTTTGATATCGATTTGTAGTGGTCAATATAATCGTTGCGGTGGTCGGTTATCACAGAAGCAAGGAGTAATACAGTCGCCTAATTTTCCTGGACCATTTGAGACACCCGTGTTTTGTGAATGGGTTATACAGGCTCCACCAAAGCTCAAAATTGTTTTGTATTTGACACAATATTACCTTAAAGGATTTTTCCATGTTTATGAATACGACCACTATACTAATAAAGATGAGTGGATAGGGGAACGCAAACTAGCCACGGTCAACTGTGAGGATGAAATCTGGTCAATCGTCGCCCACAAACCGTTCATGGTGTTACGGTTCGCCGTTCAAGAGATGGGCAATATTCACCTTCGTGTATTGGACCATTTAATTGATGTTTATGGATTTAACATAACCTATGAACTGGTCAGTAAACATGAAGTGGACAGTAAGTGGACTTGTTCGGCCTTTGATTGTTCATACCTTGGTAACTGTTATGCCAGTGCCGACTACTCCGAATACAAATGTCATTGTTTTCCAAACTTCTCCGGGGAGGAATGTCAATATGGTCCACATTGTAATCCCATGATAGAAAAGAATATGTGTCAAAACAATGGCAGCTGTAGGTAAGTCATGTTAGAAGTCACATAAATGTTCAGTTTAAGTTACACATTTGACAAGTTCTCAAAACCATAAATATTAAACATGTATTTACAAGTAAATGTAATTCATAACTGAAAAGATGTAATGTATAATAATAATACATATAAATATATTCAGTGGTCCCCTTCTAGAAGACATTTACACACGTTTCAAAACTCCGTCTTTATTTATTAAACCCTATTGTAAATGTTTTATTATCCCTAATTTTCGTCTCTTAATTCTTTATGCAAATTATTCCGTTTTGTAGACCACCCTTGTGTTAGTAATTTGATTATTGGTTCAATTTACACACTACAGACAATAATATATGTAAAAGTACATAATTCAAGCGGTTATTTTTCTCTTTGAATTGTTTTACTTTCGTCATTTCGGGGCCTTTTATAGCTAGCTATGTGGTATGGGTTTTGCTCATTGTTGAAGGCCGTACGATGACCTACAGTTGTTTACCTTCTACGTCCTTTGATTTCTGGTGAGAGTTGTCTCATTGACAATCATACCACATCTTCGTATTTTAATATTTCACAAATATGGTTAATATTTTTGACGTATTCGAAAAAGAAGTCAAATAACTGGATTTTGTTATGTTCCAAATCTAATCGAAAACTCGTCCTAATAAACGATTTTATTTATAACATTTTACATTCCAATTTATACCAAGTATCTTTTATTGATCACATAGTTAGCACTTGAAAAACACATTAACCAACAACATTTTTTCAAGAAAATTGAACTCAATATCAGCTTAGTGTATGTATGGCTTTTCTCTGTCATTTCAAAATTACAAGAAAGATCTTAGGAAATCGATCAACGTTACATATTATTGTTCTTCAACACACATGATTTACACATGACAAGGAAGTCTTTCTACTGGCATTCAGCTTTGTATTTATACCTTTTAACATATTATACGAATTAAACTTTCTTCTTTCAGATATCTGTATGGTGACTACGTGAATATATGTCAGTGTATTCCTGGCTACTATGGTTCGATGTGTGAACAGAAGATAAACGGGATACATCCAAGTGGTACTTTAAATTTATTTTAGATTAAATTGTCATTCATTATTGCAAAGGAAACACTTGTCAAACATCCACAGGCAGAAGCGTCACCTTCAACTGATTATATGTACCTCTATCCTCATGATCATGCGAGTGTAGTACTTCCAACATGCTTCCACTTTAAGATTGGAACACACTTTAGTGTATATTCCAAGCTCATGCATTTTGTTAATTGCCCATGTATGGGCATACACATATAAGTCAAAAGCAATCCTGTTTTTTTGACTGCATTAAACGAATATGCTATTTTTAAATTATGGCATTCAATGAATATGCATTTCTGTATGCCCCCGACGCAGCGGAGAGGGTATTAAGTGTTACCCTTGTCCGTCTGCTCGTCCGTCCGTACATCCCGAATTTGGTTTCCGTTCTCTAATTTAAGTTTGCCTCAACCAAATGTTATGAAACATATACACAATGCTCATTATCACAAAACTCAAATCAAGTTCGACGAATTCGGGTGGCGTCACTTTTTTCCGTTCTTGGGTTATGTCCCTTTATAACGTTATATGCAAGCTGGGGCATCATCTGTGTTCCAAGGACATATTCTCCATTTATTTAAATATGGCATTCTATGAATAGAGCTTTGCAATGTCCGACAATTTTTAATTAAGATCATACACATCATTCGTTCATGGACTTGTATTGTTATAAAACTGTATTGTGTATATGGAATTGTATAAACTCCTTCCCTCGTCTGCCTAACAGTGTCAACCAACCACTTGAGATACACTTAAATATGTTAACATACATGATACGAATCAGAATAAGTGCAAGGAACGGAAAACGGGAAAAAAAACATGCTCGTGAGCTATTGCCATCACTTAGGGTTTGTCGTCGTAATATTTTTCAAACATATTGGCCTCTGAAACTACTGAATCAATTTCAGCCAAACATTTTTGACAATGATCAAATAGAGTATTTAGTATAAAGTTGTTGTTTTTTCCGTCAGTCAGATACACATGGCCACCATTGTTTTAAATAAAACATAAGGGTAAAATGCATTAATTGTCTTATATCTTAAAACTGTATTGAAAATCTGACAGGGGTGTGATTGTTCAGAGTGTCAAGAACTAACTACTTTTTGTTTGCACCAAAATTATCAGATGAGGAGTTATTTCCCTTAAATGACGATTTTACATCTTATTTTCATGTTTTTGATGCATTTTAATACAAGGTAGAAACTCGTAAGGCAAAAATGACCAGTTTTGATAAAAATAAAACATAGAACACTATTATAATAGATAGGTAGAATCTGTTAATAGCAAAGATTTCAGAAATAAAAGATCTTAAAATGGTCTTATGTTTACGGATTGATAATTTAGTCTTAGATGCATGATTTTTTTATTAGTTGCTAGTGGCTTTGAACTAGCTGTCAGATCTGTACTTAGTGTCTTTTTGTTGTTTGGATGTACAAGTACCCGGCCACGTCCACTTGTATTTGTATTTTTATTCATCTGATGAGTTAAGCCTCTTTCAACTAATTTTTATAGTTCGTTCTTATGTTGTACTGTTACACCACTGTCCCAGGTTAGGGGGAGGGTTGGGATCCCGCTAACATGTTTAACCCCGCCACATTCTGTATGTATGTGCCTGTCCCAAGTCAGGAGCCTGTAATTCAGTGGTTGTCGTTTGTTTATGTGTTACATATTTTTTTTTCGTTCATTTATTGTACATAAATTATGCCGTTAGTTTTCTCGTTTGAATTGTTTTACATTGTCATTTCGGGGCCTTTTATAGCTGACTGTGCGGTATGGGCTTTGCTCATTGTTGAAGGCCGTACGGTGACCTATAGTTGTTAATTTCTGTGTCATTTGGTCTCTTGTGGAGAGTTGTCTCATTGGCAATCATATCACATCTTCTTTTTTTTTTATTTATACTTATAGTATTATAAGAGTTATTGTCATTAAATGAAGAATTTTTACTCATGAACCAGGTTTGTGCCTGTTATCTTGAACACTATAAACAATAGGTAGAAACTGTGAACAGCAAAAATGCTCAGCTATACAAGGTCAACACAAATTCTTGTATGATCTTCCAGACGACTCCTTACTGGAATTATTGCACTAAAAGGACATTTTGTTTTACTAATTTTTGAGCATTTCTTCTAATCTTTAAAAATATGATAGAGATAGAGACTGTTAACAGCAAAATTGATCGGTAAACAAGATCTATAAGAATGCCAATATGACAAAAACCATTGGCTGACCCTTATAAAAGTCTATTGTCTTATTTGCTTATCATTTCAATTTTTGACAGGTGAGCGATTCAGGTTCTTAGGAACCTCTTGTTTATGTTGTGTTGATTAACATTTACAATCAAGTAGGGAAAAAGCTATTTCAAATATACAAATTATAGCAAAAAAAATATATCAAGTTAAATGGACGTTTGTATTTCTTTCCTCTCTATATGTTTTATATTTATTAGAATTAGACTACTACGGTAAGTAAAAGCTAACAATGCAATTAAAAATCGACTGCCACAATTCTAACAATATAATTAAAACCAATAAACTGCCACACTTCTAACATCTCAGAACTCTTAACATGCATTTTTGTGATCACAATAAAGATTTGTGTCAATTTCAGTGTAAAGATTTCTATAATCATCGTTTTATAAGGATCCGAAAAAAATCATCCTTACATTATCAGTGATTAGAACTACTTTGTAGAATTAAAGTTTAATTAGGTCTTTTCACTTTTCCGTGGAAAGACCTATTGATTTTATTCTGATTATTATTTTTTTTTCTTCCGCCAAATTTCTTTCTTTCGCTGTTTGTTTTATTTGGCAAGATGTCGCTTTTATGTTTGGTATATGACATTGAACAGTGAATGCGCTTTAAAAACTGACACCGCTTAGCTGAACACTTTTCTATGTCAGAGTTATCTCCCCAAACACTGTTTTTCTTGTTATGACTACTCATTTGCAACCGTAAAAGAATTCGACAAATTTATTTTTCCAAATTGCTCGTTATATCCTCATGATATTTTGGAAATTTTTGACCGAAGAGATACAGATTCCATTTGAGAGTTATTCCCCCTTCTGTATTTGATATAAGTGAAATTTATTTGTAACTGACAAACCATAAGTGATAGAGACCTAGGGTCTATTGATATGAGATCCTTGGTCCATAAAATAGAAAATGAGGTCAAGGTCAGAGGTCAAGGTCGTGTTCTAAATTTTGATTTTGGCTTATTATCACTTCTCAGAAACCGTATAAGATATCGAAAAATATTTTTACTAAATTGTTAGTTGCAACATGTCGTAACATATACATTTTGGTTGAAAGATACGTTAATATTTAAAATGTGAGTTTTGTCCCCTCTTATATTAAAAATTAGTTGTATGTGATATAACTCATTAACCATATATGGTAGAGACCTAGGGTCTTCTGATTTGAGGTTCTTGCCTTATGACCTTAAAATTGAGGTCAAGGTAAAAGTTTAATTTGACGTTCTAGATTTTGACCTCTGCTGTAACTTCTAATTGGGACGTGATAAAATCATAGGGTCTTTTACATTGGTCTGCTGACATATGACCTTGAAGAAGGTCAATCCAAAGTGACCTTCTGTTTACCGCAAGAAGCCATTTTTGCACTTTTTCATGGAAAAGTACCATGAAACCATATATTTTTTTTTAATTACATACAGAAACCTATCCTTTTTGAACGGACATGACCTTTTAAAAACCGGAAGTAGCTTATTATCTCCCTTCAACATATAGAAACCATATATTTTTTTAATCAGTGTGAATGAAGCTATCACAGGAGACCGTTAGTGACATTTTCTAAACCAGAAGTAGAAATTTATCTCCCTTATTTCAGACAAAAGTATATAGAAACCATATACTTTTTAATCAGTTTGAAGAAACCTATGATTGGACGTCAATAATAACTCCGAGTAAACCGGAAGTAGCTTCTTATCATTTTAAAAAAAAATTTAATGTAGAAAGACCTTCATGTTTTTGTCGTATAATATTATTGAGTCATTTTAGTAGGTTGATTGTTATTGGGTGTGTGAATACTCACGAAAGTAGTTTAATTCCACAACATGCTAAAATATTTTCCCCATTGTTCGGAACCTCGTAAGCGGTTCTCGTTGTTTCTTATAGTTCAATAAGGATTTTGGTGTTGGTGTCCGAATTAAGCTCGTCTGTGTTGATGTTAGAATTAACGTGTTCTGTGTTGATTTCAGAATTAAGGTTGTCTGTGCTGATGTCAGAATAAAGGTGGTCTGTGTTGATGTCAGAATAAAGGTGGTCTGTGTTGATGTCAGATTTAAGGTCGTCTGTGTTGATGTCGGAATTAAGGTCGTCTGTGTTGATGTCGGAATTAAGGTCGTCTGTGTTGATGTCAGAATTAAGGTCGTTTGTGTTTATGTCAGAATTAAGGTGGTCTGTGTTGATGTCAGAATTAAGATGGTCTGTGTTGATGTCAGAATTAAGCTTGTCTGTGTTGATGTCAGAATTAAGGTCGTCTGTTTTGAAGTCAGATTTAAGGTGGTCTGTGTTGATGTCAGAATTAAGGTGGTCTGTGTTGATGTTAGAATTAAGGTGGTCTGTGCTGATGTTAGAATTAAGCTTGTCTGTGTTGATGTCGGGATTAAGGTCGTCTGTGTTGATGTCAGATTTAAGGTCGTCTGTGTTGATGTCGGGAATTAAGGTCGTCTGTGTTTCACCTAAATGAATTTTAACCGTGTAAACATTGTCAAAACAATCATGAATGTTTAGGTCTTAGCTTATTTAAAAAAAAGCTTTTTTTAATTAGAAATTTGCGATTGCCAAAGATACTTTACGATTACCGGAGATACTTTAGCCTGCTTTGTTTTCAATTGCACTTTCAGTCAGGTAATCTATGAAGGCAACTGCGAAGATTTCTTTCGCTTACCTGTCTTGATCTCAGTACGTATATTTTGTCAGACTTTTTCATGTCTTTCCTTTGTTTCTGTCTTGCTCTGGATGCGGAGTATTTTGGTTGTTTGGCTGTTGTTGAGCGTACTTAAAGCTTTTTACTCTTTACCTGATTATATAGAAGTGTCATATGCAGTCTAGTGGCTGTGCTATGTTTTGTAAACTAGATAAAATATTTCTGACATGCTAAGTGAATAAATGCTATAAACTTGGACAATAGTTTTGAATTTTATCATACATGCGGTATTCTTTAACTGAATATAACCTCCTCTTTGAGATTTGTTGGGTACGTTTGTAATATACAATATACAATCACATATGCTGACATAGGAAATACATATATACATAAGTGTAGTACAAGTTTACTTACATTTCCTATCATGCATCCAACGCGTAATTAAAGGTAATTATAAAACTGCTTAGACACATCTTCATTTTAGTGCAGCCAATTGCAAAATAAAGAGTTATCACTTAAGATCGACAGTGTTCTTTAAGGAAAACAAATGGTGTATATCAGAATTCTCTATTTGTTGTTAAAATCACTACAAAATGTTATAGTATGGACGACTTTGAGCAAAAATCTTTTAAATTTGTATTGGTTTCTGAAGAAACCTTATAGTTTAGACCTATCTTAAGTTGAACCTTGATTAAACAGCTATATATGATGTGGATTTTAAGAAGTTACAATGATGTATAGAATGTTACAAAAGAAATACTTTATTTTTTTCAAAATGTTTATGAATCACTAGAAATAAGCTGACGTAGAAACAAAAGAACATCTTTAGATACCCGAAAGTTCGTGGACTTTTTGCTGATCCTATATTGTATAATGGTACCAGAGTGCTTGTACCAGATTAAAAAATACTGTTTACAGATTTTTATTGGCTGAACAAATATGAAATTTGTTTATTAAATTTATGATTTAAACATTAGATGTGTATAACATTTACAACTTATAACAAAGAGAATTATTCATATGACAGATAAAGTGCTTGAATTTTATTTGTTAGCTTATCTAACTTTTGCAATTTATCTAGAATTTACAAACGATATTGAAATTGAATACAATGTTTGTACACAGTTTATTTAAGCTTAAAAATAGATGCAATATGTTTCCGATATTTTATTTGATGTTGATATACATGTACCTGTAATACTCGATATATTATTCGTCCAAGAAAATGTTGAAGATGTTGATATCTAAATTCATCATTCAAAATCTTTGACTTTTCCTGAATGTCTATTTTGGTAAACTTTTCGCTGTTTGGTTGCTGCCATATTTAAGCTTACCATCATCTTCTTTTGTTTCTTCGTATTAAAAAATAACATCTTATTTAAAGCATGTGCAGTGTTAGACTGTGAACAGACCTGTATAACAAGCAAGACTTCTACTGCTTCTTGTGGCTGTAACCATGGATTCCGACTTAACAGAGATAACAGGACATGCGTACATATTGGTAAGTGGCTGTAACCATGATTTCCGACTTAATCTATAGCTGGATCATAGAACATATCATATCTTCTCATTGGTAAATCGTCCTGAATATGCATGAAATATTTGCCACTGGACGTTAAGCAACCAACAATCAATCAATCAATCTTATTGGTAAGTGGTAATAACCATGGTTTACTACTTGACCATTGATTCTCATGGAGCTAACAGGACATGTGCTTATGAAGGTACCTATCTGTAATGATAACCGAATACAGGACACATGTTCATATGGCTGCTATCATATGTTCCGACGTAAATGAGATAAGAGATATTTGTTTTTATCGGTAAATGCATGGTTGTTGCCCAAGATTCCGAAAAATAAACAGGACGACACGTAATCCCATCAGTAATTGTGTTGTGCATTTAATAATTACTAAATTATCACCGAATCTCGTAAAATACAGTATCTTTTCACTCTCGACAGTTCAATTTTAATATTTAAAACGCTCGGCTCAGAGTTAAAAATTTAGAAAGCTGATGATTTACAAATACGTCAAAATGGACCCTCAACCATGTAATGTAGTCATTGCCTGAGAGATTTGAAACAAACGCCCAAAATTTATCATATTTTTATTCGGTATGTTTTCAGATCGTCACAAATATGACGTTATATGTGATTTACAAAACAGTTCAACGTTGCTGACTTCAGGAGAACGCAATACTATTCAACATAAAGTAAGTCTTTATTTTACTCTTAAATTTAAAGATAATTTTGTATTAATGTTGCTTTGACAGACATCTGCAGAGTGAAAACAGTCACACCATTAGAAGTCTAGATTCAGTTTAATCTATAGATAGTATACAGTTAATTATTTTACTTGGTGATCTCTAAGTCGTGTTTTTATTATGGATGGGAGTTATTATAGCTGTATTATTTAAAGTGCTATATTATCATTATGTTTAGCTTTGCGATTTTAACTGGGTTGCACGAAGTGATACAGCATTTGTAATAGCTATATTTAATACCTCAATGCCTTGCAGACTTGTTTCATTTTTTTTCAAAGCCTAATTTGCCAAATCGAAGAATTAAAAGATATCTCCTTTTCCTGCGACATCCCTAAAGGGTATCAAATAAAAAGTATTGAAATTATATTTCAAAAATCCATTTGCCAATTACTGATTTGATTCTGCTTACATAGTTTTAACACAAATTGTCCCCTTTTGGCAATCGAAGACTGATGCAAAGTATAAGTTGAAAGTAATATATTGGCGTTTTGACCATTTCTAGTGAAAAATAACTGCTGGTAACAAACCTTTTTTAGCTTAAAAAAATTAAATGTTATTAAAAGATTTGAAAAAACTTAAGGTAACACAATTACATGTAACGCACAGATAATTTTTTTCTTTCCGCTAGCTCTCCATTGTCGATGAAGGGAAAAAGTACATTTTCCCGGCTTTAGGTTGGCCTTTTGTGTACCCAAGGTACATTGTAGGTGAAGGAAGTCAACTTAGGAGCGCTGTGATTGGGTGTAAGGGTACACTGTATCCTTTTATTTATCTATGAATAACTGCAGTGTGTATATTTACAATATAAATTTTGAAACTCATTGAAATATTTTCTGGAAAATTATTCGAAATGACTTCCAAAATTTCATAAATTTGATGTAAAATTACGGTGGGCATGGATAACATAAACAAGCTCCGTTGGAAGATGGTCATGATGCTATTTGACTTAAATTTCTAAAACAGAATAATAAAGTACTAATACCACACATAACTGTTTTGTCCATGTTTTTATTATATAAAGTGGTAAATTATAGAAAATGTTAGTATCGTCGCCTATGCTAGAATAAATACTACCATTTTCCCTGAAAATTTATGTCTCTCCTAAGGGAGACATCTAAGAATAGATCTCTAATTACAGGGTCAATTACGGAATTTGCCAAATAGACAATAGATCGTAGTCTTGTAATTGACTGCTCCATAAGCTTACATGCAAAACAGCTGATCTTTGAATTTTTTTTTTAATCAAATACTACATAGTAAAAATTTTCATGTACATATCATGTATGTAGTAATGTGAAATGTGATTTTATGGGGGAAAAGTGCCGCATGCCACGAAGAATAAAACGTTTTGAAACCCTGAAGTCATTTTTCTTCTTTTTGTTTGCTGTTTTTAATACATGTAGTCCGCACAACTTCCAGTAAACATAATAATATCCTTCCACATTCCTGGATTGATATCCCAAAAAAGATGCAACATTTTTCATATCTAGATAGATATTTCAATCCAGCACAAACTATTAATCAAACAGAAAAAAATAGTCCAGAAAAATATCCAGAACAAAATGAACTATTTTATTTCACTCCATGTTTTGATATGCGGAAACTGGAGTTGTAATACAAGAATGGTACCTATTTACAAGCCATACGTATTACAACAGCCGTATGAGTCATTTACACATTATTATCTCTAAGTTTAAATGAATCATAATGCTGTTTTAGTAGAAAATCAAAATCATCCTCGATTTTATAACTATTATGCTTTTGAAATGTAAGAGTTTGAAAAAGGTAACAGTATTATGGTGTAATTTGAAAGAGAGGGTCGCACATAAAATATCACATGCACGTTTGTGTCTTTATATGTATGTAGAAATTACAGCTAAAAACACATATTCTGTTAAATTTAATTTCTACTGGTCTGTTGAGCTCGTTATTCAACAAAGAGGGGATTATGATTTATTGCATGTAATCATAAAAGGAAATGCTTTGTGGATTATCAAAGTCAGTTAGACAGTCACACAACAGGACAAGACATCCAAAGAGAACTTCTCGAGGTCAACTTAAACCATTATACAGTAATATGTGATTTTTGTTGTTGTAGATAAATATCATGTTACAACAGAGAGGAGTATTTTCAATAGAGAACATAACCATAAAGTAAGTACTGAAACCAATGGCAGAAACAATTTACAACTAACAGATATTTTTGCATGAAGATATGTAAATAAATTGGTAATGAAAAAGTATCTAATAGAAATATCTCGTCATATAAACTGATAAAGTATCTAATAGAAATATCTTGTCATATAATGTTCTATGCAATTCATCCACCATTGCTGACGCAGTTGAAAGACACAAGACGATGAAGAAAAAAGGATATAAACATGAGGACTCCCAACAAGTTTTTCGGACAAAATTTTGTAATGTTCATTTAAGATCATTTAAGTTGTTACGCATTTCGAAGGTGCACATAGTATAACAGAGATTTTTCGAAGGAGTTAAAAAAGAGAGTCGGAAGCTACAAAGGGGACATTCAGAACTCGAAGAAACACTGACAACGCCGTGGTGAAAAGACGAACAAGTTAAAGATTTTGTGATTTTCATTGTAATGTGAAAGATAAACGTTTTTTTTTACATCTTAGGAGATTTTGGTCTTAAGTGTTTACTGGGTTACAACACTACATTCACTTTTATGTCTTTGGATTTTGAGGTTTGAAACATAGGATCTGAGTGTTCCGGCGATGTTTTGCCAAATAAGAGCTTCCTACTTGGTAAACAATAGAGATGCATATTTGGTATATAAAAGCTATGTAGATTTCGTTACTCAGCTGTCTAAACGATATGTCATAACGGAAAGGAAGTACAAAAGGAAAGATACGGAGGGACAATCACAACATATAAGTCAAAGAAAAACAGACAACAACATTGCCCACAGAGAAACGAAAACAGACAACAACATTGCCCACAGAGAAACGAAAAAAGACAACAACATTGCCCACAGAGAAACGAAAAAAGACAACAACATTGCCCACAGAGAAACGAAAACAGACAACAACATTGCACACAGAGAAACAGGCAACAACATTGCCCACAGAGAAACGAAAACAGACAACAAAATTGCCCGCAGAGAAACGAAAACAAACAACAACATTGCCCACAGACAAACGAAAACAAACAACAACATTTCCCACAGAGAAACAGACAACAACATTGCCCACAGAGAAACAGACAACAACATTACCAACAGAGAAACAGACAACAACATTACCCATAGAGAAAAAGACAACAACATTGCCCACAGAGAAACAGACAACAACATTGCCCACAGAGAAACGAAAACAGACAACAACATTGCCCACAGAGAAACAAAAACAGACAACAACATTGCCCACAGAGAAACGAAAACAGACAACAACATTGCCCACAGAGAAACAGACAACAACATTACCCACATGCAGAGAAACAGACAACAACATTGCCCACAGAGAAACAGACAACAACATTGCCCACAGAGATACGAAAAAAGACAAATTACAATCAACAAAGCACTACACTGAAAGTTAGAGATTGAGAAACACGAACTAACCTACAACAGGGGATAAAATCATGTGCTCTAGATAGGCCTCCTAGTGAGACACCGCCCGGATTACTACGTTAATGTATCGTTTCAGATGAATAAATTCCATCAGAGGGGGCGGGGGGTAGCTCGTCAGGGTCAATGGGTAATGTGAGCAATTGCCATTACTGGCATTGTCTTCAATGGTCCGTCGTTTTTCAAAAAACCTTCTCTTAAACCATAAAATTTTACAATGGGGTACCACTGCAGATTTTAGTTTATATCAATACATGTTTTGCAGTTATAGAATACTGTTAACCAACGCATTTTTGCCAACTATATCGTCGCGAAAAAATAAAAACTCGGATAGAAAGAATTGTTGGTGTTTTCATTGCTATTTTAGGGATATTTGGCAAATAGTCGATCTACTCGGCTCACATTTTGCGTTGTATTAACCGAATAATTCCGATATGATCCGAATAAAGTTTGATCGACCTTTGCTAATTGTTGTAAATTAAATTTCTTTTGTTGAACTCCGGCTCGTTTTATTTCGGCTTATAGTTTTTCCAGACAATGGAGCACTTAAAATTTTATTTTAAATATGTTTTACTTGGGAATGGGTAAAGAATATCGTATTTTAGTTTTTACGATCGAACATCCAAAATATCACAAGGTTTTCCGAACCCGTGTCCTTCCGCATTTTGTATGTATACATGAACCTAATGTTTGAACACTTTTGTCTGGTAAAATTTGGGTTATCACTAGTACTATTTATCATTATCATTAATTATTCAGGTTTGCAGTTTCTCCTTCATTTAAGGACAGTTTAATAAAAAGCCGGTGAATACATTCTGTTGTGGTCATCAAAATGGAAAACGTTTAATAGAAATAACACCTATAAAAAGTTGATTTCAGTTAGACTGACTTATTTATAGATCGCACCTTGCAGGAAACAGTTTCTCTCTTTATCTTATAGTTGACAAGATAATAGCAAAAAAAAAGGGTAAAAATTATCATTTCTAGGCAATAACTCAATGAGGAGTCCATAAACAATTTTCTAGAAATGGGTCGAAATCGCTGCTGGAGGGCTGAAAGTCCTATATAGTATCATCTGCTCAGTAGTCCGTGCTTCGGTATCAACATGACTCATAGCATACCATTCTTAAATTCTCTGTTGATAAATTAAGAAATTATGACTAAGAAACTAAAGTTCAAACTTCCTTAGGCAAAGGTATCCTTAGCTTGATTTTGCTATACTTTTAAATTTCTTTTATGAGACTTCTCATTTTTGAGATTTGAACATCGGTAAACTACTGTTGTCTTAATTAAACATATGAATCCTCCTGTGTTAAGGTAATTTTAGATCCTTAGATTTCATATTGTTAGGTTTGAATTTTGCTGGTGAAAGTAAATCAAGAAAAGCGCTTCGGATGAACTAAAATTCTAAAGAGTTTATTACTTTTTTCCCAGTTACTGTAAACTAACGTATATTTGCGGAAAATTTTGTTCTTGTTAAGCCCTTCAAGATGACTTTGCCACGATCTATATACGTGATTTCTAAATTTGTTGATGTGTTATTATAAAAGAACATCCCCTTTATGGTTGAGAATATCCCTTTCTTAACATTTGTATGATAACTAAACGTAGTTTTTGTTTGATTTCTTGGGAGAATGCGTATCTTGCGAATTCATTTTGATTGATAATTGAAAAAGGGTTAATAAATGATAAAAATTGGTTTCATGGATTGTAGTTTCTGTAGCACTCAAAAGCGTACATTTTAAGTTTCCAAAATAATTTATTTATTTGTATATATATATGTATTTTGCATCAACAGGCAGGATTCAGAAGACTACGTTGAAATAACACTGTACGTAGAGACAATTGAAAGACCAATGTTAGACAGCAACTTACCAGAAGTGTTGCAGAGATTAGAAGGACTTAATTTGGATATGGAAACATTACAAATAACGTCAGTTCCAGGTAAAGTTTTCAGTAAAGATAAAGAATGTGTTGACTTGTCTTAACAAATCTTATCGTTTCATTTGAATGGGCAATGCATATTTTTGAAATTATTTATCTGGGTGCAACAAATAAGATTAATTAGTGTAAAATAATAAGACATGCACATTCAGAATGGATTCCTTGAATTTTGTGATTTGGTTTCAGGAAAACGTGCTAACCCTAGTTTGAATTGTAGATTCAGTACATCAAATATATGAAGATGCAATTGGACAAAATATGAGAGGGAAAAAAAACACGGTTATTAAATCTCCAAAAACAAAGGCAAGGTTTTGGGTACCTGCTATTTTCCCTCTGAAATAACTGTAATCTAAGCATTGATATTCTTAAAGCAGTTATACCAATTTCTGATACATGTCTTATAAATATAAACAAATCAGGAAATCTTTTTTATACCCCCGCTTTAAAAAAGTAAGGGTATAATGTTTTAGCTCTGTCTGTCCGTCCATCCATCCGTCCGTCCGTCCGTCCGTCCGTCCCATGAATATTTTCGTCGCATCTTTCTCAGGAACTACATTACAAAGATTTCTGAAATTTGGTTTCAGGGTTTATATAAGTCATTTATACCGTGTGATGCGTTTTCAGATTCATCACTCAACAACTTCCTGTTAAACGAAATGTTTGGGCGGGGTATCATCAGTGAGCAGTAGCTCGCAGCTTCCCTTGTTTTCATTGTATGGACTAATCTGATTAACGTCTGTCGATACGCAAAAGTTTGAAATATATAAAAAAAAAATAAGTTTTTAAATATCGGATTCATTCGAAATCAGGAATAAAGTAATTTTGAGTTACACATACATTTATATATATATGTACATGTAATACGCATTATGGGTTCTTGAATAAGTGCTTACATATTCTTCAAGTTCTTATTAAATTTACAGAGGCATTCATACACGGGAATCTAAAATTGTTGAAGATGAATGACTAAATTTTCAGTCAGGGAGTTGTAAGATCGTCCTCGAAAGATGTTGTACTGAAATTTAACTTAGTGTATAATTATGCTTTAGCTATTTTTTCCTTACCATTATTCCTCTTTATTGACCAAATGTAATATCTATTTTATATATTACTACTGTACATAACTGATAGGATACTTGAGGGGTATTGCATTTTGAGTTAAATATTCCGAATCAGCTACTTTGCTTGTCCCAAGATTGGGTTGCTATCTGTTATTTTTTTAAAGCAGATAAAACTATGTGTAATAAAAACAAAACTATTGTAGACCGACTAGAGAGTAAGTATATTTGATTGCATGTGATTAACAAGAATTGTGTCGTTTTAAATATTATCTGAACTGAATTGAAAATATTGCATTGCACTGACTGAAATATATCCACAATAACTCTCTAACTTTTAACTAAGAAATTACTTTCAATTTTGAATTATGTTAATTTAGAAAAAAAATATTTAAACTTTTTTTTTCAAATGTTTCATAAATTATGATTTGTTGAATGGGAAATACTTTTAACGAAATATATTTTAAATGGAAAAAAATAGATTGTTTGTTAATATGTATTGCTTATATAGACGCATGGAAGTGTACAGTGCATAGTAGGTACATAATTTCTAAGCTGACACTACTTGTTGGATTCGGATTCGACCTGACCCGATAACATTCGTCCTCGGATATCGCAATTGTATTTGTCTTTCGTGAAAGGCAATAATGAATCTGTTACTTTACCATCATAACCGGTGAAAACTTAGAAAACACTGTCCTAAAAAGTATATATTGTTCATTCATAACCATACTTAAACTTTGATAACAGCATACCATGCAAAGTTGAAGAAAACAATAATATGAATAAGATTGTATTAAATAGGGACTGTAACCTTCTGTTCCGAGAAAAACCTCAAATGTTTTCTGATTCATAGAAGATCTAAGAATATGTTGTTGTTAATTTTTTTATTGTGGTTATACAGTGCAATACAAAAAATACACATTATAATTCAAGTAATATTAGTAAGAAATAATTGGTGACACTTGTACTGCTCAGATGTACACTATTTTATTTGCTTTATTGGCTTATATGGGCTGTTATTAACATTATTAATTTATCTAATTTTTCGGTGGTTTATACTTTACAAGTTAACCGGTTAGATTATTCTCAATTAAAATGATTAATCACTTCCACAATTTCTGTTGTTGTCAAAGTTGCCATTGTGCTAATGTTACTTTTAAAAAATGAATGCGTACATGTAGGACCATGAATCAGATTATGCTACGCATCAATCTAAATACCGGAACTTCAAATATTATCGTCGCTTTCAGAACCGCAAACTCTGCTATATCTATTTATATACGGTATTGTGTTTACATGAAAATCGTTCAATATATAGCTCCTTAAAATAATACATAAACTTTGACTGTCAAGCATACTTTTCAAAACAGTTTTAATTGTTTAATTAAACTATGCATTTTTACATTATATATATTTATATTTATATGTAAATTGCGTTTTAACATCTTTACCACTTGTTGTTTTAGTGGTGAAGTTAATACCATACTTGTCTCCCTGTACACTGTTTACGTTTAAATCAACTCATTGTAATATTATTATATCAAGTGCATAAAGTTCGCATTTAGCTCACTGTGCATTGCTTACATGTTGTAGTGAAACTAACTATTGTATGTTACAGTTACAAAGAGAAGAAATAATTATGTCAATGTTAAATAGTAATTTTTAGATTTTTCGAAGTCTGAGCTACATTATATTATTGATTTACCAATCAAACGATGATATACCATACATAGTTTGGCTGGTGATATCCAGAGGACAAAACGTCCTCCAAAAGTGGTATCGAACCAGCCATTGTTTGTAAAAACGCGTCATAGATACCAGGCTTATTATGTAGTAGACCGGACACGTGGTTCGTCAGTGACACTCGAATCCATCGGAGGCCACAGTAGTTTACCGATGTTCAAATCTAGTAAATCCGTTAAGAAGATATAAATCAAGGTAACAAACAAACACTGAGGGAATCACATGATTTCCAGAAAGAACGATACAGGATCACATGATTTCCAGAAAGAACGATACATGATCACATGATTTCCAGAAAGAACGATACAGGATCACATGATTTCCAGAAAGAACGATACAGGATAAGCGTCTCCTACTATGCATGCATCACCCCATCGGAATCAACATTTAGTCAAATTGTCACGATTGGGAATAGCACGTAATCGCTTAATTTATAGATCAGATGGTAATTGCGGTATCTAAAGATTCAAGATCGCGAAGACACGTATTTAAAGAGTTGAGACACAGAAACGTCGGATCGGTCAACCAATTCGTGAATGATGGTGACTTATGTAGGGTCGATTTAAGTGGTTCTACGAAAAAGTTAAAAGGCCAAATCAATAACAAAGATATCAAAGAGGTAAACCAAAAAATACAAAAAGTTGTGCCAAATCGAACTAAGGCCATCAATGCATGAAGGTAGTATGTTTAAGTGTTGCGAATGTTATTATTATGTTATAAACAGTAAATGTACATAAATTGACCGTACTAATTGTATTTTATGCCAGCGAAGAAGTGCTGACAAATGTACCAAGTCAGGAATATGACAGTTGTTTTCCATTCGTTTGATGTATTTGTTTGAACTTTTGATTTTGCCAATTGTTAAGGGAATTTCCGTTTTCAATTTTCGTGGAGTTCGGTATTTTTGTTGTTTTACTTTTTTTTTGGGTATCACCCCCGAGGACGTAACGTAGCATCGACCGCTCAGGGATTGTAAATGCTTATATACAAAGATACAAGGCTTACAATTAAGTATGCCAGACACACGTTCTGTCTATAAAAGACTCATCAATGTCACGTGAAACAAACTATTTCGAAGGTTAAATCAATAACGACGTTGAATAGCATTGAAAACCAAAAATTTTAAAAAGTTGTACCAGATCTGTCTAGTCAATCTCGCCTGGGGTAAAACAAAACTTAGGTGTTTTGATTTTTTTTTATGAACAGCAAATTAACCAAAAACAAAAGTTTTAATAATATTTCATGCAGGAAAACACAGTGCTGACTCCTTGGCTGGTAGCAGTGCGTTCAAAATAATAATTGGAAGCTTTTCAAAAACAATGATATACTAAATGCAAGTTCCTTTTGACAACAGATTTTATCATGAATTATTTAAGGATGTACTTAGGTGAAATTTAAAAAAATCTAGAATTTAAAATTGATACTATAATTCGGAAGAGCATTAGTTAAGGAACAAAATAAGCTAAACATATTGATAGGTTATGGAGCTCCTTTTCGAGATATTTGATTTTTAAAAAATGTCTGGAAAAGGCTGACTCCGACTTTTACCTTATATTTGCATTTGTATCATTTGGGTCTCAAATCGAAAGAAAAGAAATCTAGAATCTGCTTAAATTTTGGCGAATGACCTTTTATGAGATATTGAAGTCTTATATGAGAAGAAAAAATGGGTGTTATGGGGCAAAATATTTTATCCTGTTTTGTAGGAAAAAACCAAGGAGTCCGAACATCAGACACAAATTCCTAAACCTCACCTAAGTACATCCTTAAGATCGCTTTTGCTTTTATAGCAGAAACATTCAGGTCAGTCATTTTACCGAGATAAATTATGATGCTTAAACAATTTGTATTTTGTTCATTTTGGTAGATACAAAAAAGTTATTTTGATAGGTTTCATACATTATTTATGATAAATAAGTTTTGGGAATATCCCATATTGCAAATACAAATGGTTCTCAACAGGGTCTGTGGGATATTCAGATACAATGCAATCTGGGTTTTTTTATTGACATTGAAGGTTTAAAATGAAAGGTTAGTTTTGTTCTTTTGATTATTTATTATTTAATTTCAGAATTGTATCTACTTAGTGTTACGATGAGAGTTGATTCCGGATCTGGATTAGCAGCATTAGAAGACAAAAGTATGACACTATCATGTGTGGCTAGAGGTCGGCCAAGTATAACCTTCAAATGGTTCAAGGATGGATATTTACTTGACTTACGCTTTGACGTAAGCTTATTCCGTAAACGTGCACAAGAAACGTTGATTCCATCAAGCAGAGATGGTATTCTGAGATCTGTTATAACATTTGATCATGTTAGTCCATTAGATAGAGGCAAGTTATTGTTATTCATCTTAGTGCCGATATATTATGTTTCTTTATGATAAAACAGAAACACATTCAGTGATGAGACAAATAAACACCAATGTATGAGTCTAACTATCATTTTGAACTTTCTAATCTTGTTGACCTCTTTGAAGTTGCACATCGTCATCCTTTTCCACGTGATAAATTAATCAATAATAATTACGATATGAAGATTTAAGCACAATTTAAATTTCATGACTTCTGAAACGTATTTGATAATAAAGCATTAATATTGTGTTACTTCGTATTTTCTGACAGGTACATTTACATGTGAAGCACGAGATGGTGAAAAAGCAGAAAACAAATCCATATCTGTAAATGTGCTAACAGTTCCTCTGGTTGACCTTTACCCTTTGTCAGTTTCCGTAGTCCAGGGAGAGAGCATGAGTATTATATGCATGTCACCTGAGGATACTGCTAAAAACTTTACTTACACTTGGCATAGTGGGAGGACTTACATTCCACCTGGGCAATCAGATCAAATTGTTGAAGATTTGTTTCCTACTGGAACAAGACTGTTTGTTCGAAAAGTTAATAAATCTCAAAACTTCTCCTGTACAGTTGAGAATAAAGCAGGCACATTTACACTCACGTCACACGTCTTCGTTCAAAAAGGTAAGATTGTAAGAGAAGTGTCTAAGGTTTTCTTAGTTTTGTATCAGGTATGCATTCTTGAAATTTGGAACATAATAACTGTTAAATAAATTAATCAAATATATTTGAACATATTATTGATTTAAAATTGCTTTCCTGTCAATGTTAACTACACGGAAATGCATAACAAGAAACAACAGGAAAAGTTAAGTGAAAGATAACACATTGTAAAATCAGAACTCTTGTAAGTCGAAGAGAGACGATCAAAATTAATCATGGCAACTAACGAAAATCGACAAAAAGCCAACCAATAGCCTAAATTACACCTTAATTTATTTATTTGGGGACACAATGACAAACATTCGGTTAATGAAGGGAAAAGAATATTACTGTAAAATGTAATGTCTACCATTTGCCTTTAGCTTCTGATGTTAATATGACATGTGGACGAAGTTATCATAAACAAGTTCTATGGACAAAAACAGCAGGAAATCATTTTGACAAGGAACGCTGTCCATCAGAAACGGGAGGTAAGGTTATATACACTACAAAAGTTTGCATTTAGTGTCATTTCTAATACAGCTATGTGTGTTGCACGAGTTAAGTTTACTGAAATAACGGTATTGAGATACAAGTTGTTTCATATTTAATACATGTATAATTATTTTTCAACATTTGTTCACTTCCTTCCTAAAATACCAATTAACATGTGTATACATATGTAATGACTTTATTCTAAAGATACCTGTATACAATTACCTAAGCTCTCCGTGTAACAGGCTATGCTGAAGAAATATAAGGTTTCACAATAAACTGAATTCCACTTTCAATTTCTGTTTATATCTTCAATTTACAATTTATAAGACACACCCATAACCTAAAACGTGTCATAGTACTACCCTATTAAACCAGGTTTATTCCATCATTTTCTTGTACCAAGTCAGGAATATGACAGTTGTTTTCCATTCGTTTGATGTGTTTGAGCTGTTGATTTTGCCATTTGATAAGGGACTTTCCGTTTTGAATTTTCCTTGGACTTCGGTATTTTTGTTATTTTACTTTTTTCTAGAATGTATTTCTTTTCACTTGAAGTTCCAAACGCTACTTAATGGAAGAGATTACTGCCATAATTGTGTGTATGTTTGTTAGTTTCTTAGTTCAATATGACAATCCTTCATCAAAATCGCATTTTTTTTCGCCTTTACAACAAAACTTCTGTGTGGTGAGGGGAACACTCGCTGAGATGAAACGAATTATACATGTCATAAAGAAAAAAGCAGCAACATGTGAATGGACGAAATATATCATATAAATGCATGGGAACTGAATACTAAGAGTGAAACACCATAAGTATTCACATAATTATGACAAGAAAGTTCCATACTATTTGCACAAATGAAAAATATATTCCTCATTTATAATGCAACATAATTATTTATATATTTCAAATGATTTTTAACACGCACCCCTGATAATATGATAGTTGATACAGCTTATCAGATAAAGAAACCTTGAATACCTTTTCTTCATGCTGCTGTATGTTTTTTTTTATTTAAAGCATGAAAGGCATCATTGTATAATTACTGCAGAGTTTGTTGCTTTTGCTGATTGGGTGCAGTAGAAAGAGTCCTCGTGCTTGTGTTATATGTCCATATAATTTCCGTTTTGAGTTGTTTGCTTGTGTGCTCGAAGAGAGCTGTCCCCTGTTAACTTACATTATCACATTTGTTCTATTTCCGTACGTTTGTATCGTTGATGAGTGTTTTCAATGATTTTCTTAGAGTTCTTATTTTTCTGTATTTTCCCTGTTTTTATTATATTCGCGTTATGTGTTACTCATGTCATTACGTCGGACAGTGTTTTTACAGTTTGTATGTGAGTTCTTCGACTGTACTGCACATTGTTCACTTATTCCGTAATTGTGATGATAATTTTACTTTTAATTGTAACTCTTTTGATTCGGGCGTCATTGATGAATCTTTGTAGACGAAACGCGTGTTTGGCGTACAAAATATTAGCCTGCTATATTTGAAGAGTTATTTTAATGCAATGACTTACGGTCTCTTGTACTGAATTAGGTCGTCGGTTTTCTATTTCGAATTTGTTTCAAAATTTGTTATGCCGGGGCCCATTGTACCTTATTATACGGATTTGCTTAGTTGATCGTAGAAGGCCGTACATTGCCCTTTACTTGTTTACATCCTTCTCTCTTGGTCTCTGATGGAATATTTCTTTATCTATGGAGTAATTGTAATAAAGGATGTAGGATAGGTGATCGTATTTAGGAATTGTTTTATTGCCGCTCATTCAAGATCGCCTTTTGTTCTAGGCGGATAGCGATAGAGGCCATTTTTTTTACTTGTAATTTGGTTTGTCACTTAGTCAAACTTTGTTAAAAGTATGGTTACCGCTAGAAACCAAATTTGGATGTAGTTTTGTTGGTAGAGTGGTAGAGTTGCGCGTCAATAATGTTTAAACTTAAATATCTAACAAAAGAAAAAGGAAAAATTTCGATGAAAATTTACGAAGCGTTAAACTCTATTGAGTGACTCATTGATTTATTTCGTTTAATAAATGATTGATCTAGAATTACCGTACACTCACTCTTTTATGTGTATTTAGAAAGTATCTCCTATACAAAAGAAACAAAATATAGAAAAGAAGTTGTTCGGAACAAATGAAGGAACATGTCTTTCTTTTAATAGTTTTTCCCTTCGTTGTCATTGATTAATATTATATACCTTATTTTACAATAACAAAATAGTGATATTAATTTTCATTTTGTTATTTTTGTTTGTTTTCTTTCATACCTTATCAAATGCATTATAATAAACTGAGACGAATACAGGATATATAACATGTTCGGCATAGCGTAGATTTAGTAAACCCTAATTTGTTTGTTATAATGGAAGAAGCATTGCTTAATTTAGATTTCAGTGTTTATGGTCCAATAAATGTTGGTAAGTGGTAGAGAATAATCCACTATGTTAACACACTTAATGTCACTAAGGCTGTAATGTGGTGAGTGAAGATTAATGGAAATGAGTGCTCCTTTCTTGGCTTGTACTGGCTTGCTGAAAACGTTTAAATAAAGCTAACTTTTCCCCATTACTGTCTTGATGTAACCTTGGTTTTTTATAAAAAAAAACTTAGAACAAATCACACTATTTTATTTCAAACTACAGTTAAAATTTTTGTTGACAGTGTACACTGCGTATTTCGTGTGTAAATAACAACTAGCATGTTGTTTTTTTAAAGTGTCTACATCGATAAGGCTAATGAAAATTGATATAGTTTTGATCAATTTTTTTTATAGCATTCCAGTTTTGAATGGTGCGTAAACGTATGTTTATATAATTTTCTTTATGAAAATCTTTCATGAAGTCGTAAATTCAAGGCACCTATTTCAATCAACGGCTATGGTTCTAATCTATACACACTATTTCACAAATGGCTTTGGATTATCTGCATTTTCTTTGTGAAAATCATTTAAAAACAATTAATTGAGATAAAGCCAAGTGCATCTGGTCATGTGTCTGAGATAACGAATTTGATATTGTAGTAGTTACAACGATAAAAAATTGCATTTAAATTGACTGACGATACTAAGTCACATTTCCATAGTCTTCACTCATTTGTATTGTAGTCGCAGTTAACTATGAGTTGATACGTTTTAACCAACTAACGTTTTATTGTTGCATGTATTTGTAAACTGATGCATGGTATACATTTGAAACTGATTGTATATTCAAATTGAAATTTTAAAATAACCAAACATATCTTTGACTGTTTTCAGTTGATGTTATTTATTTCAATGTTCTCCGGAACCAAATCGAGTATATAGTGTAGGAAAAGAAATTCTACATATTTATATATAGTATCTAGCTACAATTAAGCTGTCAGCCTTGCTTTGATTTAAATTGATATATTAGTGTTCTAAGAATTCAAGTTAAGTTTATTGTGTAAGAAAAAGAACTCTACATGTATTGTCTAAAATTATATTCATGCTATTAGTCTTGCTTTTGGTAATTGAAATGTAATGTAGAGTCTTGTGTCGTGGAAAACAAAATAACTTGACTATGTTTATGTAAAGGTCCGACTATCACAATTAATACACCACAACTTCTGTTGTTCTAACAAATCGACAAACAATCAATTTTGTATGAAAAAACAGCAGTTTTGTAGATACTTTTCCATTCCAAATAGGTACAAATTTGACCTCTTTTCCATTCCAAATAGGTACAAATTTGACCTTTTCCATTCCGAATAGGCACAAATTTGACCTCTTTTTCATTCAAAATAGGTACAAATTTGACCTATCATTGGCTTGCATGGAACATGGATACTATTGACATTGATTGATAGTCATCTTCGTCTGTACTTTTCTGAAGAAAATAAACCACTCGTTCCTTCAATTAATGGGTAATTTTGGTTAAATTTGGCTAAATTGGTGACTTCTATATAAAGCATGTTTGTGTATCTGATCTTTTAACTAAGGCAGTCAACATTGCAAGAGACATCATGGGGTAAAAACGGAGCTTTTGTTTTTTTTGCAAAAGTGTAGCAAATTGTGACGATATTTTCTTCGAACAGACTTGTTGTTGTTATTTTTAAAACATCTTGACGATTTGTTTTCTGATAATCGACCTTTCAAAATGAAAACTGTAACACTGTTACTTTTAAATTTAAACGCATCTAATATTATAGAAAAAAGTGTGTAAAGTCTATATTTGGATTCAATACATCTAAACTACTTTCTAAACAAAAAGATAAATAAGAAAAAGAAAGGTAAATTGCTGGTGTTAAATTGGAATTAATTGTAAATTTGAAATACGGTTAAAATGGATGTAAAAGTTGAATGAAATAACCATGTTTAATATCAAAATATTAAATATCTAAGCAAACACAATTCTAGTAAACGCCTTTTCAAAACATATTTTTGTATTTGATTGTTATGTATTGTACTGTTTTTATGTATTGTTTTTTTGGGATATTTTTCGCATGTCATTTTCAAAGTGGCATAGTTAATTATGTTTTAACGGATATTAGAAACAAAAGTAGTGAAATGTGTTCGTTTATTTTCAAAACTATTGAAATTATTCGATTTGTCATTCTACTATTTTGTGATCTGAACAAATCGGGAGCAAACCATTTACATGCCGATGTATTGCAAGCTTTAAATATATTCATAAAAATGTCATATTTTTGCACAAACACCTTTTTTCAAACAGAAATAAAAATTAGTGATTGTCTGGTTGATATAACAAAAAGGCTGTTAGTTTGTTGTCACGTGATATTCCTTGGGAAATGGCTGCTGTATTATATTTTCGTATAACTAAACTGATGCTTTAGTCTATATAAAGAACATAATAAATTATGCTTAATTTAAAAATTATTATAAAACTACAAAGTATATAAAGTGTAAGCATGCTAACTTATTTGCTTGTTTGTTAAATAATGTGAAAAATATTAGATTTAGTTTTCATTTTGATGGATCTGCTTACCCTTCTGGAGCATATCGGAGTCGGAGTGACAATTAGTTAATTTTCATAAGATTAATTATAGAAACATCCCGGAAATTACATAGTAGTATTATAAATATAATGGGAACATGGAATTGTATCTAAGGAGAATGATACAAGGATAAGGAAACATTCATAGCAATTCTGACTTACTGTGACTTGACTGTAAGTGTTGCTCTCAAGTTACAGTTTACTGAAAATTCTGACCAAATTGCAATTTGTTTTATCAAACCAAATTGTTCAACTGGTCAGAAATTTTAACGAACTGCTGTAGAAAACCACAGTCAAGTTGTTAAAGTGCAAGGTGATTGAAATAAAGCATACTTGCAATCCTATTAGACTTTATTTCCACTTCATTGATATTATGAAAATCATTGTCAGAATTTGTATACATGTTTTTATATAATTGGCATGCGAAAGGTGGTAGGAAGTAAAATTTTATTTGCTATAAAAATCTCCAAACTAAGCTTTCATACAATTTTTTCTTTTAAAATCTTCTATGTTCATAAGAAGCAGACATTAGTTTGATTTAAAACATGTTATATTCAGTAAAATATATGTGAAATTAAAATACGTTGTTAATAAGTTCCCATGGGAGACAATCTAAAATCATTGATCTTTTGAAATATTGATCTTATCTCCCTTTTAAACTTCAAGAGAACATATTTAAGCCTAAAATATATTTCACCAAGTATTTAGAGATTAATGTAAAGAAATCTTTGTAGCATGCATAGAAAAACACCATTTTAGAAGAAAAAATAATTCAAAAACTTAATTTGTTCATTTTCGTAATTTTTCGCAAAATGAAGATAGTTATTCCCTCATCAAAGTTCAAGAGGTTATTCCAGAAACATACGTTATCCACACAAGATAATATAATTTGTTTCACATGATACAGAATAAACAAAGGGGCATATCAAGGTTTTAAGAGGTTAAGGATGGTAATTGCATGTTAATTTTTATTAGACTCACCCTGGGTTCCATCGATATCTGTGTTTTGTAAAAAATATTCTCTTAATATAGTTTTTACTGCAATATTGCAGTCATCATAACAAAAACTGTGTTAAGTTGCTTAATATGACAAAACTGGACTAAAGTTTGCATCAAAATTGTTCATATACATATGTGAAGGAAATGAACTCGGTTGCCGTACTGTACTAAATAGTTACGGTTACAAATGACACATTTATTGTTCATTAACATTATAGTCGCCAATCTCCAATCTGCTGTATTATATTGTAATTTGGTTTGGTTTAAATGTTCTTTTTTTTTGACAGTTTTATTGGTTTCCTGTTTAACAAAATTCAAGAAGCGATCCGTCGTTCAGAATGCCATTTGTGAAATCATTGCAAACCGATAACTTACCCTGAATTAATTTTTTACCTTTTTTGTAACAATGGCCCAGACCCCAGCTTTAAGGTATTAGTCTCATGTACATGTCTATAAAGTGCGCTGATTAAAACACAGTCGAAAGAATCCAAATACATAGTGCGATAAAAAGTAATCCGTGTTAAAATATTTTGTTCTTGTGATATATCAGCTTGTTCCAACAAGTTTTCCGCTCTCCTATATTTTCATCTGCACATTACATTTACTTTTTAGGATATGCTACAAGACAATGCGTCTGCACTGGTGAGATTTGCTCATGGACTGAACCAAACTATGCAAAATGTCAGTCTGTTTACTTAGTCTATGAGGTTTATGACAAGGTAGGTAACATTGTTTTACTCTCTGGTAAGGTTATACCTTCCATTGTGACCACTCCATTTTTGTTAATAGAACATGTATTTCCCAATTATTGTCATGTAACCCAATTTTGTCAAAATGACGGAACTATGAACAACTGTCATGCAAGTGGGACGTTAAGCTAGGTATGAAACCAGGTTTAACCCACCATTTTATTTCGAAAGATATCTAAACCAAGTCAAGAATATGACAGTTGATTTCCATTCGTTCTTTTTTTTAATTCACCTTGGAGCTCGGTATATTTGTTAATTTTTTAATTTAAAAAAAGAATAAAATAAATGCACATAATTTAACATAAAAGATGATAGCAATTTTTCTCTAAACATTTGCTTTAAATACGACATATTTTTTACATGCAGATATTTGCTTTTTGCATTTAGTGTATATTCATTTTAAGTCATTACCACAACATCTGAAAGAACGAACAACTTGCAGTATGCACTCAATCGTTGTTATAATTATCCTGATTATATAATGACAACAACAATCTTTAATCTCATATGTGCAAACACCTTTTACATTTTGTGCAAACACCTATTACATTATGTGCAAACACCTATTACGTTATGTGCAAACACGAACTACGTTACGGTAAACGCCTTTTTAACACAGATTGAAATAAAACGTTGTCGTGACATAGACATAATAGCAACGTTAAAAACATGGCGAATAACAGAGTAACACATGTCCTCCAAAATACGGGTTTTGGAGCCTTAGCTAAAAATTTTGTAGATAAAAAAATAAACAATATTCAATACGTAATAGGTTTTTGCACATAATGTAATAAGTATTTGCATTTAACGTTCACATGACATCTTGAATGTTAACAGAGAGTATCAATTGTTTGGCAAAACGTATATAAGCTATAACATGACATATTATATTTTTCACAGAAGATACATATGTATAAACACAACATAAAGCCATTAAAATATAATATCATGAGGTTTTCACAGAACAAAGATGTATCAAAACAAAACGTTTAGAACATTCAACATAACAATCTTTTTTGAGACAGGACGCAATTATTAACTGACATACTTTAAGGAAGAATAGACACAACATAGAGGAAATGTGAAAAAACATAAAAATGGTTGATCATAAAGTTGTGAGGTATTCACAGAATATACAGTAGTTACAATATAATGTAATCATATTGCACATAACAAAGAATAGCAATGACATATCGTACAATTGTTTGACAAAACAAGTAATTAATTTGACATAACACAGAGATGCAGTGTTAGGAAATAAAGGCAGTTACACATAACATAAAGAAGACATGACAGAACATAAAGACAAAGCGACAAAATAAATTGAATATTTACACTATAAGACAGTTACGGCGTCCCATAGGTAGTCTATGATCTGTGGTTCTGAACGATATCTTTATCTTCCAATATGTTTTAAAAGTTTTGAAACTCAAATGTTTTTTTAAATAATCTTTAATTTATAGATTTTGATGAATTTAAAATAAGTGAGTGCCATTCCTGTCTAAATTATATCGTTTATACTATTATATTATCTTCCAGCTGGAGATGCTTCGGCTTGGCTATCAGCAAACAACTATCAAGTACGTTTATGATCGTTTATGTGAGTTTATCATTAAAAGAAATAATAACCACTTGTATTCTGGAGATGTTGAGTTAGCTGTAAGCATTCTTCACGAGTTACTGAGACATTTGGAACAATATCCACAGTTGTCAGCCAGAGATGATAAGATTACTTTGAAGGTTGGTAGTTACTTGTTCCTGTATATTTTATACTTCATAAATCGAATAAATAACTACTTTATACATTGTAGTACGTCATTCTTAAATACATGTTATTGTAAGGACCATCAAATGTCGTTAAAAAAGTGATGACCTAGTCAAACATACAGTTTTAACCAGTGTTGCTTAATAACAAGAACAAAATTGTCATCGGTGACGCTAGAATTAAAAAGGTTAAAACACCAAAGTACGACCCGAAATTCCAATTGGTTAGTTATTAGTTAGGTTCCTTAGATAATCGGTCTGTCACTGGATATTAGACACTATAGCAATTCTATGACTGTTTGATGACAGGCACAGGAAATTATAGAGAGAAAAGTACGTTATATTTTAAGACCATTCGTGCACGAAGAAGGACTCTTAACTTAAGTGATTCCAATACACTTGACACTTGACACTTCTGGCGAAATTATATCATCATTTAACTTATTTTTTTTTGTCAAGAGGTCAGTAAACATGCTACACGCAATTCTTAGTGTCCCTAATTATTGTCTTGGTTTTTTCAACTTTTTAGACATTAGATATACGATATTGTCATAATTGAAATATGTTCTTTGTGTTGTTTTTACTGTGTCTTACAAAAAAAAATGTTAATTATATCGTGCTATATATTTTTTTCAGTCACTCATAGATATTATGAATGTGATGTTGTTCGCAGCAAACCAATCCACAGGGGAAGAAAAACAGGTGAAATTAAATCTATTAAAACATTCACAGAAATCGTAACTAGTTTTATAAATAAATGCACCACACTTCCGAAAAGTACCAAATCGTGTACATATCATTTGAACCTGTCTGTTCCCGAAAACACACCTAATGAACAAAATATTACTGCATTGACTAATACTTAAGGAAGAATGTTATTCTATTGTAATATTCCTTATTAATTTTTTTTCACCACTGAGTGCCAAAATATCTAATATATTAATGTAAATTTTATTACCTTATATCATTTCACTTGCATTTTGCAGGAATAATTTTTTTAGATCTAACAGATTTCATCTACAGCTTTGTTTGATTAAAACGAAGAGTAATAATAATAACACGAAAACATAGATGTATTTAAGAATCTATGAACAATTATATTTTTTGATCGATATGAATTATCTTATGATTAGGATATGAAGGCAGCACCATATTTCTTGAAGATCAATCAGATTATATCAAGAAGCATTTCAAGTGTTCTACACATGGAGCCTGATTCAAAGTATACTTCAGCTTCGATAGGTAAGATATATATATCTATAATAGATTTTTTAACTACATCTAGTGTAATACGACATTTCTCAGCTTGAGACAGTTTTAAAAGTGACAATCTGCCTAAGAATCAGGCAGTGGTGAAAACATGACAAAAAAAACCTACTCAAGTTGACATTAATTTATGTTCAAATTGTATCATGGTGCACGAATATAACATTAGTTTCCTTTTCCTGTTCTGGTAACTCAAGATATAATTTGGTTGAAATGCACTAGAAATTAACAATTAAAGGGAGATAACTCTGTAATTTGCTATCATTCTAACCAAAAGTTATCTGGAGATTTCACGAATTACCAGAACAGCAGAAACAAAAGACCTACCATTTCTAACTCAGGATGAGGGTAACTTCAAAATAGGATAGATTGGTCGGTGGGTTTTTTTCGGCCATGTTTTGAAATTTTTCTAAATTGCCTGATTCTTACAAGGACTGGCACTTAAACTTTCATATTTAAAACGCGAGTCTCGTCCAGCTTATTAGATTTTCCAAATTCAACTGTCAAGAGTAGAGACATGTCGTATTGCACAAGTTTTCATGGTTAATTCTGTTTCTGTACTGATTTTTAGGCTATGTGTAGACACATTTTATCGTTCGTTTTCAATAATCTGCAAAAAGTCTTATATGTGACGTCATCAGACATAGTCGCTATTTTTCATGACGTCTAAGTAAGAAATTTTGAAGAAAGTGAGAACATTTTACGTCATAATTGAATTTAGACAAAGTATGAACTGAGACCACACCAACCACACGTTGATTATACAAAAATAATCAATCAGTCGGGAAAAGTATATATTGGGAAATTAGAGAAATGTGTATCTACAACATATACATATGTAAACAAGTGTATGTGCCATGCAAACTAAAATGTTGAAACAAAACAAATGTTACTGTACACACATACAGCTTACCATAAGTTTGGAAAAGAAGTTCAATAATCAATAGTAGTTTTATATATAATGAGAAGAAACGAAGAACGGGAGGATAGACCATTATTATCTGTAAATCTTCTAAAAGAAAATGTATTACCAGTTTCGTACATTATTTTCCTGTTCAAAGTAATGAACGAGTTGAGTGCTCCCAAGCATATCTGACCTCACCCATAATTGAGTATCCGCGGCCGGTTATCAAGTCCGCTACGTCTTCTTATATTTTATTATTCGATTAATGGCTTAAAGTAAGACCTAATTTACAATTGTTTTTTACGTGTTGTTTTCTGAATTCCATTATTATTTATTAGAAAGTTGCTCATAGAACGAGACAAGTGACCTATTAAACTTCTTATGAAATATTCGAAGGGTGTTTTTCTATTGAAAATATCCCCACTATATTTCATTGAATTTACCCAACACCAAGAGGCTAATGGAAACCAAAGAAATCTGAAAACAAGGAAGGTTAAGAACATAATTCTGTTTTTCTTATAATTTTGAATAAACATTGAATGACAAAATTTCTTCTTATGTGACGTTTACATTTTCTGACGTCAGACACGCGAAGCAATGAATGTGGTTTTTAATTTGATAGATGCTTTTGTTCTTTTTTGTAAATAATTGTTTTTTTTGATATTGTAACACAGTGATGACTGCTGTACCCATATTTTGACTATTTTATTTATAATGTCTGTTTTGTTCACGCATCGTTGTAAATATAACGGAATTTGATAAGACTGTCGTACAAGTGAGAGGTTTAGCGCTATAAAACCAGGTTCAATCCACCATTTTTTACATTTGAAAATGCCTGTACCAAGTCAGGAATGTGACAGTTGTTGTCCATTCGTTTGATGTGTTTTGTCATTTGATTTTGCCATGTGATTAGGGACTTTCCGATTGAATTTTCCTCGGAGTTCAGTATTTTTGTGATTTTACTTTTTTTGAGGTTTAATTTAAAACGTGTCTTGTTTACAGATGTAAAAACAGATATGTTACATGCACAAATCGATACTGGAAATAATTCAAACACAAGCATGAATGAGTTTTCAGAATCAGGAGACTCAGAACATAAAACTGGTGAGTTGTAGTTGTGTATGTTAGTATAGCTCATTACAAAATTACTTAGATATAGCAACCAATATTAAAACAATAATAAGATACAAGTCACTAGACAGTAAAAACTGACAATAACGGAAATCTGCTCAAACAAAAATGTCTTTATCAAATATAAATGTAAGAATAAAAAAAGAACGCCAAAACGTAATCATGGCAAATCGTTATTATTGCTTCAATTTCAATTAAAAAATGATATATTTGCAACGACGTTGCGAAGGGTATAATGTTTCTGACGTGTCCGTCCGTCAGTACTTAGTTGTCGCGAGGAAAGCGCCTGAATTTTTTTGACGGACACTCTTCAAATTTGAATTATTTTTCAACTCAGCGAAACCCCAAATGAGTTCCGTAATCAGGAAAATATGCAAATAAACCATATTAACTCTTGTCGACATGATATCGCTTTCGGTTTCCATCAGATCCTCTTCAAATTTATATCAAGATCTCTACTCATCGAAATCTTAAATGAGGGGGCGAGTAAAAATATTTCATATTGATTCTTTTCGCCGGATTAGCACCAGTATTATAAGTAAGACCCTCTCTCCGAAATCAATACTGAAAAGAATCACCTAAAAGTTGAAAGAAGAAACTTTGCCAGCAGTCACTATAACCTCTTCCCGTTTATTAAGGGAGCTAGGGGGATGGGATATGTAAGCTTCCTCACTAAAGGTTCTTCATGTTGTCCAGTAATCGAAATGAACAAGAAAATGTTAAGTCAAACTTTTTAAGTGGTATTTGTTACTTACCAATCGTAGTCAATTATGTATTTTTATATAAATAAGGATCATGCAGGCCCTTAATGTCCCTGAATATTTGTTTTTAATACATGTATTCTAATGAATAATTAACAATTTTATTAACGATTTTCCCTAATAGTCCTTACCTACCTATATGTTTGTAAATATGTATTCTAATGAATACTTTACAATTTTATTAGCCGTTTGTTGTGAGTGCTAGGAACTACATTGCAACTGAGCTTTGTTTGGTTATCATGCAGACAAATAATCAGTTTATCAAAATTTGTTTTCAGAAATGGAGAAACTGCAGGTTTTGTCATTTACAAACAAAGCAATCGTGTCTATGCTATCCGCAAAAGAACGAAAACCAAGGTTTGTTAAAACTTCTGATCTTAAGATATGATTAAAAAAGGTAAACATCAATAATAAAATTGAGAATGGAAATGGGGAATGTGTCAAAGAGACAACAACCCGACCATAGAGCAGACAACAGCCGAAGGCCACCAATGGGTCTTCAATGCAGCGATAAACTCCCGCACCCGGAGGCGTCCTTCAGCTGGCATTTAAATAAAAACATTTAGTTGTTGAATTATTGTCAAGTTCATCATAACATCCTCTATGGATATATGAATGTAAACGTTAATGTGACACCACCAAACAGAACATATATGTCACCATGAACCAGGTTCAAACTATATGGACGCCATCACGAGTTGGTTGACCGTTATGGAATATCCGTTTCACATATGACAACTGATATGTTCCAATTGTCGTTATTACAATCCCGTCCCCTTTTCCCCCGAATGTGACCAACCGAATTAAAATTATCACTGGGTTTGTACTAACATGAACAACACGACGGGTGCCACATATGGAGCAGGATCTGCTTACCCTTCCGAAGCACCTGAGATTACCCCTAGTTTTTGATGGGGTTCTGTTGCTCAGTCTTTGGTTTTCTATGTTGTGTTTGTGTACTGTTGTTAGTCTGTTTGTCTTTTTCTTTTTTGGCCATGGCGTTGTCAGTTATTTTCAGCTAATGAGTTTGAATGTCCCTTTGGTACCCTTCGCCTCTCTTTAAATTAGTGTTAGGCTTGACAAATAAGCCTGTTACTATTTTATGCTTGAAAAAAAACGACATGAATATAATATTCTAATAATCTTTTTCGTTTTTTTATTTCATTTTCTGTCCTTTTATCGTGTTCGATTAAACACTTTCTTTTTGTATGTAGGTTTTGCAGTAATATAGGTGTCCTGAACTTGCATTTGATGAGTCTTTTGTAGACGAAACGCGCGTCTGGCGCAAATACAAAATTTCAATCCTGGTATCTATGATGAGTTTATTTACAACCACTGGGTCGATGCCACTGCTAGTGGAGTTTTTATTCCCCGAGGGTATCACCAGCCCAGAGTCAGCACTTCTGTGTTGACATGCATTATAAATGAACTGTTTACAAAACTTTACATTTTTGAAATACTAAGGCTTTTCTACCTCAGGAAAAGATTACCTAAGCTGTATTTGACAAAACTTTTAGGAATTTTTGGTCCTCAATGCTCTTCAACTTCGTACTTTATTTGGCCTTTTTAACTTTTTTTATTCGAGCGTCACTGATGAGTCTTTTATAGACTTAACGCGCGTCTGGCGCAAATACAAAATTTCAGTCCTGGTATCTATGATGAGTTTATTTAGTTAATGTTTAAGGCCTGATCTTATCTCTTGTCATGTGTTAATTTTCATCATTGTTATTGCAAACCTGTCTGACGAACTTCTATCTGATATCGTATCTGAACAATTAATCACCATTTTATTTTATTCTTGAATAGACATAACGTCATATTGAGTTCAACGAAATGCAGCAAATATTATGAAGACAAGTATGATACAAAATTATAAGAAATCAAAATTTATATAAATGATATATTGATAAAATGGTCTTTTTACGCCAGGGGTATGGTAAACGACGAATGACGTCCTTTTTAACGATTGCCCACTCTCAAGTTTTATTTATATGAATTAAAGTATATATAGAGTGTACATCAATGACAAAGTAAACCGTTTTCCCCCAAAAACTTAAAGACACCGATAGGTCAGTTTCAGGTTTTCAACATTGTCAATGTGTCTATACAATATTTCAATTTCTATATCAACCATAGGAATGTCATAACAAGTACAGGAGACAATTGTTGTTTGTGCAATACTCAATAAATTTTTACAGAATTAAATGCAGAAAAAAGGAACATTTAGACTTGTTTCAAACCATAAAAACTACCGAATTGTTGTCATCTTCCCCTCTTCAATTAAAGAATTCCAGACACAATGATCCAATAATTTGATTTGAACCTTTATTAATAAATCTATGATGGGTTTCAATATCTTCAAAAATGACATGTCAAATTAACTTCCGATCCGCAGTTTTTTGCTTTATGTGCAGCTCAAATGACTTTGAAATGTAAATTTTTATTAAATGATGTCCGTGTTATTTATTCTACGTTTTTTTGTAATCTAATAGTTAGTAATAGACACGGTTTAATGGCGTCATTAGAGGTTACATAGGAAAAGACAGTTTAATGCCCGTATGTTATCGATAACGTTGATTTGAATAACATTTGATACAGTTCAACTTTTGAAAATGATATATCCAATAACAGATACTTGCTATTAAGGTAGTTATATAAAAAAAGTTGAACATGTTAGTGGTTCTTCTTGTTTTAATATGTGAAAGTAGTTTACTTATATTCAGTTATTGTAAAAAGCTCAGATACAAAGCTCACACAAATTATATTGTAAACAGTGGGAATCGCACGAGCATCAAATATTACTCAACATATTTTATTTTGCTCCGAAATTAAAAATCACCTTAAAGTCTTGATAATAAAGCATTGAAAGTGTGATCTCCATAATATATTTCAGCATCAAATTCCAGTCTCCTATCTCCGATGTCCATTCGATATTCCTCATGCAAGGCAGCAGTCAACATCCCGAGAATCTCATCGCTTACATTCCAATCAAACATACTACTCAGGTAAGTTACTCCTGCTTAATGGAAAAATAGTAAATTATATTTTCTTTATGTGTTACTATTGTAAGATTAAAGAATTAGATGATTTCATTCAAATGTACAGCAAGAATTAAGTTACAAAAGTGTGGATTGCTATGCTTTCATCTTTTTTTTCCAAAATTTAAAAGTTGTTACTATTTTATAAAGTTCGTAAACTTTTACTGATTTTTATGTTTTTTCAGGATGTTTTCTTTAAGTGGTTCATTATATTGTCATAACATATTTTTAATTTATTTTTTTGCAGTCATTCACGAATAAATATAATCAAACAGTCTGTGTTTCATGGGAGTTTGATAAACGGTAAGCTTAAATATCAGTCGTCCTAAACATGCTTAATTATTTGCCACTGGACGCTAAGCAACCAACACTCACTCTTAAATATCTGCAATACTGTTATTTTTGGTTTTGTATCATAAAGCTATGACGATAGACAGGTTGCTCAACATTAAGACTTTGAAACTCCAGTTTAAATTATTGAAGGTCCATTGTATGTGTTTACTATAAAAATAAGGAGATGAAGTATGATTGCCAATGAGACAACTATCAACCAAAGTTCAAATGAAGTGGATGTTAGCAATTATAGGCAATCGTAAGGCCTTCAACATTAACCATTAGATACGTTCTTTTTTCGTTCCATGTGCATAAAATTAACTTGGAACACTAAAAAGAAACACTGGAGTTTGATAAATAAACAGGTAGCTAACAAGGGCTACAAAGAAAGTGACTCTACATTTCTGCTACCTATATTCTTACAAAAAACATGTAACTTACTGTGTTGTTTATATGTTTAAGGCAAACTAGGAAATGTTCAATTGGTATCTTTAGCCTCTCTTTTAGATGATTAAGACAGAATAACAAGTATATTTTCTTCATCAAGCAATTTAGTTTGTTGATAATGGTTTGTTCCGTTACAATAAAGACCAATTGAATGTTAATATTAGCTGGATAAGAACTTTTCGCAGGTCTGCGTATAACAATAAAAATTGTTTGATTCATTTATACGAGCATGATTATGTTACGGACTTACTTCTGAGTTTTCAATTTCAATCTTTTTAAGTTTTATTTTACATATTTACGTGTCGTCCCACAAAAGTCAGCACTTTTGTGTTTACTGTGTTATTTTTTATTTGAAACACTTGGTTGTTTGAACCCAAAGGCATATATTGCATTGGTCATATTTGTCACAAAGCAACTTCGTGTTTTGATTCGAGCGGTATTATTGAGTTTTTGAAGACGAAACGCTCGTCTTGATGAGTTTTTTTAACTAGTGGTCTCAAATATACCATAGTTTTCAGGAAGCATGCGTTATCACTAAGAACAAAGAGAATTGCGTTACTTATTTAGAAACCTATAGACACTTTCGAAGCGATCGCGGGTTCAAAATAACATTAACGGTACCAATTTTTTGCACCAGATTCGCATTCCAACAATAAATGTCTCTTCAGTAATGCTTGAGGACAACATATTAGAAAATCTAGACTCTAAAAAAAGAAAGCTAATAACCCAAAAAGGACAAAAAGTATAGCCAAAGCTGGGCAATGAATCAGAGCTTTGTATGAGGGAGGTATATTCCTTACTTTATTATTTCCAAAATTTTGTAACACAACTTTATTAAGACTATATCGGTATTTTTATGCCAGTACCGAAGTACTTTCTACTGGGCTGGTGATTCCCACGGGGACTAACGGTCAACTGGTAGATGTATAGACCCAGTGATAATAACGGTAACGGTACCAAATGCACATTTTGACCATACATATAAAGGGTAAATAATCAAGAAACAGCTGTTCGAAAAAAAATAATTTATTATTCAATTAGATTGTATTGTTTACAAACGTCATATATTTCAGCTTTTCAAATGACGAACACTTGTCATGCACTAGGAAATTAAAACCGTACGGTTCATTTACACAATACGCTTTGTTACCCTTGCTTTTGCATTGATAACCTGCTCTTCTAGGAACTCTTGCTCATGAACAAATTTAAAATCATTCAAACATAATTAAATCAAATTTTAAAATAAAACATCCATATCTTTGACACAGAAATGTTAAACATTATAATTGTTTTAATTATAGAGAACCTCAGTTTGGTCGTTGGACTAATGTTCAATGCACTGTATCCACAACAGATGACAGTCAGACTGTTTGTAAATGTTCCTTACCAGGTCATTTCATGGTTGTTTCTATATCTACTAATATCAAAGTAAGTGTATTATTTTGATTTTGTACCTTGCAAATAATAGAAAATAATATGTGGTCAGGAAAAAATATCATTCAATATGTAGTTTCAAGAAGGGCAATTTCTTTTTTTTACCCTTTAAATAATCTAAAGAAATAACATATAATGAACATAACCCTCCATCAGGAAAGGTTAATCCAAATTAAAAGCGAAGTATGTTTAAATCAATAGAAAATTCAGTAGCTATGTAACCGAAAGTAATCTAAAAAGCATAGTCGAATTCATCTAAGATCAGCTTTGCCTGATAGAGTTGGAACCGTAGTTTGTTAATAATTTCCTAATTTATCAACGCGGAATTTTGACAATCTTTTTAGCAAACAATGTTACAAATTCAAAAGTTTTTTTTTTTATTTCATAGCCATATATTTTAACCGTCAATAAAACTTTAATATTCTGTTAAGACAATCTTTATTCTTCCGAACGCATGTCGATTAAAATGATTGCACACCTTTTACACTAATTACTGATTTTTATTCTGTGTTTCAGCTACCAAAAGTTGTTGTTGAATCCAATCCTGCTTTACCTATTGTCATAGCTTGTATCATAAATATCGTCATACTTGGAATGGGAGTGTTCATTTACATTCTTAAGCGAAAGTAAGATTATCTTGGTTTTGATTAACACTTTAACATTGTTAAAACGTGTTGCGTTTTGTCTATATATTTGTTGATTCTTTCATTTTTACATATAAACCTATCCAACATTTTATTTTTTTATTTGATTTGAACTAATGTTTAATATGAATTTATTAATTTTGTCTTTTCACAAACAAAGGGGTATTAACGTATCTTTTTTTTATTTGTAGATGGTTGATTGGTGATGAATATCCCATACATTTCAGCTTTATGGTGTCAATATTGTTACAAAGCATTACATTCCTTGTTTGCCTTAAAAATGTAGACAACGCAGTAAGTACATGTTTTGTAAGAATATAGATAGCAGAAATGTAGAGACGCTCTCTTTATAGCCCTTTTGATCTTCCTGTTTATTTATCAAACTCCAGTGTTTCTTTCTGAGTGTTCTAAGTAAATGCGTGCACATGGAACGAAAATTAAATGCATGTTTCTAATGGTTTCAAACACATATAATGGACCTTCAAAATGTTTTAAATGATTTCTCGCTGAATTTATATTATTAATGATTGATTAAAGATCATGACGTTTATACAAAAAGGGGATTAAACATTAACTGTATTAATGTTAAGTTACATTGGCTATTTAGTGAATCATTAAGAATATCCGGAAAAAAATACTGTATAAATTCTATGAAATACATTTTGTGTGTTAAAAATAAAAACGGAAAGCATTAGCTGTTTTCATAAACAAAATTATGCAAGAAGTATTTAACAAAATTCTTGTTTACTAAACTATGGTATTTATTAGTTTGGAGTTTGTTTGAAATATTGGTTATTCAATATAAAATAAAGAGATGTGGTATGATTGCGAATTCCGCCCAGGATCCAAATTATGTGGATGTAAGACCAATATATAAATGGACGTTTCGTATTGAATGTGTTTTTTATATCCAGATTTAAACAAATTATACATTTTTTCACTAAATGATTTTCTCATGTTTATATTTATTAAATCGTATATTGAAATCAGTTTACACAATATTATTATAGATTATTGAGAGAAAAAATGATACTTTCTTATGAGAGAACAGATCGAGTTTATACACAACTTACTTTGTTCAGAGACACACATTTTAATTTGTGTTTTAGGCAATATGTTCCGTGGGCAGAATAGTTGTTTACTTCTGTTTCCTAGCAGCATTTTCATGTTTGTTTGCTGAAGCTATGCAAATTTATATTTCCACTGCGAGGAAGCAGCAAATTGGCAAGCAGTGGTATAAATATTTATTAATTGGTTGGGGTGAGTTACCTTTCAAACATCAAGTTTTTTTTATTTACATGTATATCCTTAATTAGACAACAATGGTAAAGGATTAAATATCAACGTATCAAATACCCTTAATAATGAATCATAGAGTAAAACAAAAAATTATTTCACCAAGAACAAATTTGAAATATATCTAGCTTTAATGAGTAAAAAGATAAACAAGAATTCAAAAGTTAACAAAAATAAGTGAGAACAAAAAACCCAATAGATTCTCGTAGATACACTGATAAACATCAGATATTATTGACGACTAAAATATTGGCAAAACAAACTATTGTAAAAATCATTAAAAGAGAAAGTATGTCATGATGCGCAGGCGGCAACTATCATCACATTTCCAAGTCAGATAGCAAGTAACCGATATTTAGTAAAATCTGGTGTACAAAAGCGATAAGTTCAAAGATCATTAGGTATACCAAAAATCAAAAGCTCTGGAAGTCAATTACATTAACACGTTTACTAGGACCAAAATGAAAGAGCCTTAACTGAACGCCTTCTAGAGCAGATATCAATCTTACATAATGGAGTAGCAATTCTATAAATTTAAATTTTGTTTTTTTCTTTTTTTCTATAGTAATACCAACGATTCTAGCAGTTTTCTTTGGTGTTGCATCAAGAATATTTCCAGCAAATGATAACACCTTACTTGTGTAAGATTACATAAAATTATATAAAATACGTTTTATTAGTGAAAGATTTCTAAATAACAATACTTTCAAAGGCAGTTAAATTAGAGAAAGAGTTTTATACATTTCCATTTTTACTGTTTAAATTAGCATCATTTATGTATTCCTTCTTAAATTATAAGTGCCTAAAGATATATATCTACATCAATTTATAGACAGAAAAAAATGAAGTTTATCGTTAACTGATGTCGCCAATATTCGATACATTTATGTAAATGTTTCATTGTTTCCCATAGATGCTGGATAGAAGATGATCAGTGGCATTTTTATGGATTCATCATTCCTATCGTAGCCTTAGATATTGTAAGTCCTTTATACTTGGTGTGGGTGAATTGACGTGTCATATAATCTATGTTTCCTCAATAATATAATCGCCAAAAAAGCGGTATGCATTTAACGAAGTATATTCATGAGGATATCTACAAAACATAGAGATAAATATCTAACTTAATGGACTATTCAATACTGTTAATGTGATATCTGTTACTTTAGTATTTAGTACTAAAACCTGCTTGATCTGACAGTGCTTTTTTGGGGGTCTACGTACATATATCTTTATGCATTAACATAACAATTCCTGTAATCCGATTTTACCAACACTAACAATATTTGTAAACTGGGTAATTGTTGAGCTGTTTTGTCAGAACTGATTGCGATTTGATTTTTTATTTTATGTGTCAAGTTCTGCGGGTTAATTTGAAAAAAAACAACTCTTACTAAACAAATTAGTGTATACGTAGGGCAGCATATTTTTTTACACAAAAATCTAGTTTATGAACTATTGAACAGCGGTATACTACTGTTGCCTTTATTTATGCTATCTTTAGACTGTAACAATTATTTGTATGTCGTACTGTATTGAGTTTTAAACAATCAGGAATAACATTTAATCAGCATGTTTTTCTTTGATTGTTTAGGCTATTTTATTCATGCTTATATTTGCCATGCATTCATGCATAAGACACCAAGATGAAGCCAGATATACATCAAAGCGAACATTCTGGTAAGAAAATTTTTAAATCGTACGTCTACAGAATTTGAAATACGTAAGTAACATTTATAATTGAAATACTTCAAAAAGAAAATTCTGGGGTTATCTTTTTTGATTTTATATTCATAACCCCATGCTGATTGAGAAACAGCAGCAGTTTAACGAATAAAAAATCAAAATCAAAATCAAATAACGCTTTATAAAGGTTATTTGTCAGAAGCACTTTTCGAGATTCACTTTCATTAACTAAAGTATTGAGAGATGTAAAGAGCTATATGACCGAAATGGACATAAAAAGAAATAGCCAAATCAATCTAAGTTCAACTTTGCCTGAGGGAGTTGATCCTTAGTTTTTTAATAATTTCTTAATTTACAAAACTGATATGTCGATGGAAATATGTGAAAAATAACCCAATTGGCAAAACGAATGTTACTACTGACGACAAAAAACGAAACGTTCGTTATAGATTCTTATCAGCTGTATCAATTTTAGAAAGAACAGATGCAGCTACGTTGCAAACCTTGAAGTTGCGATAGTATCCTTAAAGTCAAGGAATATATAAAATGTCAGCACTGAAAGAAATGAAGGTCGTATAGTGACATGACCTCAACAATATATTTAAAGAACTTGGTTAGACGTATTTTCTTTTTGTCTTTGAGAATGTTTCGTGCCAATTCTTCTTCAAATTAATGCAAAAACATGTCGGCTAGTCGGGAAACACAGTTAGAACCAATTTCAATACCAACTATTTGTTGAAATATTAATCAACCAAACTCGAAAAAAATGAAGTCGACCAAGAAGTCCATCATTTTTATGATATTTGTTGTTTGAATCGATTTATTCCTTCAAAATGTTTTTTTTTCGCGACCTTACAAAAAAATGGGATGATGAATTGCAATAAAGAGTGTCGAAAAATAAAAAAGTTTTTATATTGTTGCAAAATAGCAATGACTTTGGATGAAGATTTTTCAGTAGATCTTTAGAATTTCTAAGAATCCATTTCTGATTGTTTTGGTGGTTATATATTTTTTTTTATCTTTCTGTAATCATAGATTGATCAAATGGTTTCTCTGAATAATTAAGCAGTAAGAGAACGAAAAACTTATGTTTTCTTTGGTGACATTTAAATGCATTTTTCTTTTGACACTTATATATAGATGTTTGATGAATTTATTCTTCGTTTTTATTTGTAATAAAGGATAATTGAAAATTATTTGATTGTTGAAATATACATTTAACGTATATATGTGCAACTTTTTTTCAATATTTTTAACTCTGTATTTCAGTGTTACTTGCCTGAAATCCATTTCCATTCTTCTTTTACTAAATATAGTCAGTTATCTTAGTACTGGTATAAGTAGAGGTGAACATTATGGATACGTAATCTCATATTCAGTTCTCGTGATTTTTTTGGTAAGTATATCAATGTCCTGGTATCACAGACTGTTTCGTTACTTAGTTCTGACCGTGGTTTTGTAGGTATAGTTTTTAACGTTTTCTATTTAAGCAGGACGAAAACATTATGTTTGATATAATTCTACTGCTGATACTTATACTTCCTCAGAAAACCGTGTTTTAGGGGGAGTCAGGCATTGCTATTGATCGGACATGAAATATAACAAGTTGCGAAAATGACCTTATCTTACAAATAGATATTACTACTCAAATCAGTATTACGATGTCACCTATTTGTAACGTTAACGTATGTTACAGTAAAAAAAGACACAAAAAAAGTTCTTTATTAGTTAAATGAGCTATTTCAACCATTCAAAGATTTACTGAACAATGTTTTTGTAAGGAATTTAATAATGGGACAAGCTTGAGATAATTTAACTACATGTAAACATGCCTATACATTCCGGCATGTTATCAGTTACATTATGTCAAGGGTGCATTCTCTTAGTTTAGGTAATGAACATAATGTTTCTGAGATCACACAGTAAGTCTTCCTCTTGATACTAAAAGGAAGATACCGAGTAAACAGTATTTACGATCGTCATCATGAATATGTCGATCTTTTTCAATTTTCAATCAAAAAGCTTGCAATTCTTAAGGTTTTTACGTTTTAGAATTTAGGTGGACTCATTATTGAATATTAACCGATATCGTTCGTTACCTCTGTGAACAACCAAAGATGTCGCTTACGTAAAAGATCTTTTCAAGCCACCGGAGCACTAAACGTGACTTCTGTACAGTTTAATACCTTACTTTGTTTGTACATTCACCTGTCTCATTGCTTCTGAAATATCACGCTTGTATATTGTCCTCTCGATTAAGATTTTTATTCATCTCTTTTACATACTAGTATTATGTTCGATACCTTCATCCTGTATTCACAAGAAATATATCGAAGAACTATAATTTTTATAGACAAATATAATTTATAAGAATGAAAATTGTTTCCGCAAATTAAAGGTTTAGATTGATATCATAGTATAGGGTTTAATTGTGATTGTATATTAAGGTTTTTATACGTATATTAGTATGATTGGCGTCGTCGTCGTCGTCGTCGTCCGAAGACACATTGGTTTTCGCACTATAACTTTAGTTTGAGAGAATGGATCTCTATGACATTTTACCATAAGGTTCAATACCACAAAAGGAAGGTTGGGATTGATTTTGGGGGTTATGGTACTAACAGTTAATTAGGGGATTGATTTTAGAGGTAATTTCCTCAAAATTTTTGGAAGTTTTTAGACCACATTCATTCTGTGTCAGAAACCTATGCTGTCTCAAATATTTAATCACAATCCAAATTCAGAGCTGTATCAAGCTTGAATGTTGTGTCCATACTTGCCCCAACTGTTCAGGGTTCGAATCTGCGGTCGTATCAAGCTGCGCTCAGCGGAGCATTTTATCTGATAGTACTTTAAAAGATTTAAAAAAGCATGGGATAACTTACAGTACACTTAGAAATATTATTCAACACACGACTGTATGGGAAGAACACGTTAATTGTTCGTATAGAACATTAATATTATATTGGATAATTAAATGTATTTCGAATTGTATCTTAATACATTTTGTTATTTTTTTTAGGTGATTGTGGTTTTCGTATCAAGATGCCTTTTTGATAAAGAGGTACGGTACTACTACGTTTTACAATTATGTATTGTCTTTTTATCTCAGAAAATAACCAAAATTACCATATACCATGATAGAATGCATGACTTTGACAATAAAACATGTCACTTTGTATAATATTCATTCAATATTTTCTATATTGGCTTATGTCCACCAACCAAAAAATGATATTGTTTTACTTAAAGCATTTTTAAAACATGTAACATTCCATTATTAAATAAATATATGTAATCCAACATTTCTCAAATAATTTCAAACTTGATAGTTTGGGAATTTTTCCCAATGCTAAGCGGATACGTTTATGTCACAGGGATAATTTACGGTCAATGTATGCATTGATATGTGCTATTTGTTTGAGAAGGTTGACTTCTCAGAAATTAAACTATTTTACTTTTCGCAAATTTTGCTTTTTAATACTCTTGAACTTCGTATTTGATTTGACCCACTAACTGCTTTGATTCGAACGTGCTTCTGGTGTACCAAATGATAAGTCCAGTATCTTTGAAGAGTTTTTATTTTATACGGAGCAATATATCCATATACTTGGTCCAAAAGAGACCGACAAAATCCCGGCAAAAACGAAAAACGACGAAAAGACAAAACGCTATATGAAAAAAGTAAAGACTGAGCGCATCCAATTAAAAACCATGGGTGATATCAAATGCTCCGAAAGGGAAAGTACATTCTACCCCACACGTGGTTTCAAATTATTTAGAGAACTGTGGGGATGAAGACAAATCTGTTTCTATTAACGTTATAATATATACATATTTAAAAAAGGTTTCGATATTTTTTAACCACTGTACATAACTCGGATTCTTAAACAGGTTGAACAATTCATGATCAATTGTTTTGTCCTGTCGTATAACTGTTGGCGAATTTCTATTATAATTCACCCATAACCAGCTACTTAATTCATATAGACCTTTATCCATAACGTATGATTTGACTATTAAGACTGGTAAGACAGCACATCAATATTTGTTGCAAGATACGTGTACACATTTCAATAGTCTTATATAGGCTTGTGCTTTAGTTCATATTGTCAAACGTTCTTTGCGTATTTATTTGTCAGTAGTCTTGTCATTTCGCTTGAAAAAAATTATTTTCATTTATAAAAGTTGTCTATTGCAAAATAATGTAAGAACGTATTGCATTAAATATTTGGATTGCACATATATTTATCTATCTTCAGATAATGACAATTCTTTGGAAAAGACTGTCACCGTTTAAAGATAAACCACCAAATCAACAAATGGTAGGTAGATGGTGTAACTGATACTTGATTTTTTCATATTCTGTATTAACCAATTTTGTGATATATAGCATTATGAACATATACAAAAAGGTTTAAAATATTATCTAAATGAATGGAAACACTTAAGTGGTTTGGATGGTAAAACGTTTTATAATTTTAGAGTTTCGTAGACGTTGAGTAATTCAGTCACATTTGAATCTATTGAAACGATCTTTAATTTTGTTTGAGCAGCGTTGTATAATACCCTCACAATAGATTTTTTTCAAATGTTATTTTTACATGAAATTAGTAAAAAATCATTTGAACCTGGGATAGCGAACATAATTTTGATAATTCTCACAATCAATAATTCATTGGTTTTTTTTACGAATTGACAGAAAAAAGGATGTGTTAGAATTATATATCGGCGTTTTAGGAAAAGTCATGAAGGAAAAGTAGGGATGTGATGTATTAATTCATGACACGGAATCCCTTTACACACTTGACACAACCTAATGCATATGGACAACATTTTATTGCTGTTCTCCATCTCAAAGTCACAGCCTTCAAAACAATGCGAATGCTAAAATCTCACTGCAAATTCAATATGGTCCCCAGCAACAGTGTAGAATACTTTGCTAGATATCGATCACGCCACGTGTTAACATTGAACAAAATAGGTGCGTGGTTAAATAAATGGACAGCCTATTATATACGGACAAAGAAATAACAAGTACTGTCAGAATTTGACTAACAATAGATATTATTGTCAACCTCGAGGCATCAAGATATTTGGTAACTAGCTTAATAGGAAATGATGAATAGAAATATTTTTGAATGGTCTGTATCTCAATTTTGATACACGTAACGAAATGTAGGTGAAAGAAAGAAATAGTGTATGTAACAGAACCAAGAAATATACTCGAGAACTGTAAAAATATAAGTGTATGCAGGTTAAATCTAAAAATAATTTTATTTGGTTTTCAGAATCGTAATCAAAGCAGCAGTTCATTTAAAGGTAACTTAGTAAGCGTTAGTTTTGACCAAAAAAAATCATTTTTCAATATAACATAAAAAATAGAAAAAAATTAAATTTACTGTTTGCAGAAAAGATTGTCTTGTTGAAAATGTGTGTATTATACTATCAAATATTAAAGAACGACTTTTGATATCTTCAAGTGAGTTGTACTTTATTTATTTCATGTAGGCTGTAATTGCGGCAATTTTTTATATCGTTTAGTACATATTATCAACTTGTATATGCTTGATAGTTCAAACAAATACATACAGTGTTCCTAATTAAGACAACAGAAGGTTATTTCATTTTAATTACTTTAAAAGTTATGAGATGTAATTTTTCTTCAGTTACATCACTCTGATTTACAGGAGACCCTGTTTACGCACCTGGTTTTTCACTTTTTGAGTACATACTTTTATTTTGTTACCTTGATTTGTCTTATTCGTCAATTTATGAGTTTAAACATTGCTAAACTACTGTAACCTATATTTGCTAAACGAACTTACTTGATATATAATTTAATTGTAGGTTATATGAAACCCGAGCTCCCAGAACAATTCATACCTGAGAGACAAGGTGCAAATAAGCATTATGATCAAGTAAATCGTATGAAATTTACTGATGAACGCAAAAGACAGCTTTCAAACCTTTTAGGGAGTTCTCAGACTGGCGTAAATTTAGTAGCTTATAATCAAGACAGACGTTCCAACAGAAGCTTACCACAAGATAATGGTGCTGCTGATAGTGGTATCTTTGGGTCTGAAACTGAAAAGTTTTTGAATAGCGATCTTGAACAAATTAGTAATAGGTCATCATTTAGTAAAATACCTATTACAGTAGTAGATGTTCATTCGCCTGTTGTACAAAATGGATCCATTATAACAGAAAGTATGGAACCTTTTCCAGAACTTATTCAACGACGGGCTTGTAAAGATTTATTTATTCAATCATCGACACCATCTAATGGAATTGTTCGTCCAAAATACAGTTACTACATAGACCCTAAAGCAAATCAAGTTATTTCAGAATCTGGTGAATCTACAACTTTGTTAATTCAAGAAAAGACACCAGATGATAACAGTGAAGAACATGAATCTGATAGTATGTAATTTGATAGTATATGATGTAATCTAACAGTATGTGATGTAATGTGATGTGATGTGATGTGATGTGATGTGATGTGATGTGATGTGATGTGATAGCATGTGATGTTATATGATAGTATGTGATGTAATCTAATAGTATATGATGTAATCTAATAGTATGTGATGTAATGTGATGTAATGTGATGTAATGTGATAGTATAGGATGTTATATGATAGTATGTGATGTTATATGGTAGTATGTGATGTAATCTAATAGTATATGATGACATGTAATGTTATGTGATATTACATGATAGAATGTGATGATATCTAATAATATGTGATGTAAAGTTAGGTTAGGTGTTGCTTTTTGGTAGAATGTGATGTTATATGATAGAATGTGATGCTATATGATAGAATGTGATGTTATCTAATAGTATGTGATGTGAAGTGAGGTAATGTGATGCTATTTGATAGTATGTGAGGTAATGTGATGTAATCTAATAGTATGTGAAGTTATCTGATAGTGTTTGTTGTATTCTCATGTATACCAATCTAATATGTCAGTTCTTGTATCAAACATTACGGCACATGTTATATTTGTATACATGTAAGAGGATATCTACTAACAATGTTGTATTATAATTTAACAATTAGAATTAGACGTAGCATTTTTGGTCAATGATACATATAATCGTGATGGGTCGTGTACCAGTAGAATATACACATAAAGGTCTTGAAGAAATACTTTTAAAATGTAGTGTTATGTATATAAAAAAGGGATCCTATGTGTCGAGTAGTAAACCAGAAGAGTATGCTGAATATTTGTAAAAGCATTGAGTCTAAACCTGTTTAAAAGCATTGAGTCTAAACCTGTTTAAAAGCATTAAGTCTAAACCTGTTATGTAAATCTAGCCTCATTATTTACCAATGAATTGAATGCTTTTCTCTTTGAATTCCAACTGTTTTTGTTTTCCAACATAGGTTCATACATTCATTGATAAGTGACATATTTTTGAATATGAGTATTGTAAATGTAAATGTATTTATTTTTTTGCTAGTATTTTGTTGTAACAATTGTGATCAAATTTATCAAGACAATCATAACTGCATTCCATTTAAAAAAATGTTCGATGCAATAATTTAAGCTAGTCAAATGTTTTTTCTTTTATTTTCACGAAATCCACTCCTGAAAATACAAGTATATCATTCATAATAGTTACAAAACGACATGTACAGATCAGAGTTCAAAGGTTTAGGTTATTCTTAGAAACTGTATTTGTTGGTTATTTTGTTATTATTCCCAGTGAACACTACACATATGTATATACATTGCTTTCGTCCTATTTATGAATTAATATTGACAAGTATTGGCTGATTGTTTGTCAAAAAGAGGGTTACTTAACGATTCTTTTTCTATTGGTGGTATTACAAAAATTCAATGAACAATTTGTGTTTGTGATTTGTGTAAAGAATTAAATTAATACAAGTTATTTAAATCCGTTGGAGGACAAATAAAAGAATCAAGTCAAATGTTCCTCATCCTATCTGATTAAGGCAATTAAGAGTACAGGGGCAAACTAATTTTGGAACTCAACACTCCCTGAACGAATTCATATATATATACGTACAGATAAGTCTGATATTTTTACTAGTTTGAGTGCAAACTGATAACAAAATTTACTTACATTTCTTTCTTTTCTTCCTTTATTTTCATACTTTGAATATTGAAATGTCCAATTCATTTTCTGCTTAATGTCAATCGTACCTTTTGTAGTTTCAAACCTGTTTTTCTCGAATTAATTGCCTTTATAATCTACTTGTGTTGTAATTGTATGATCTGATGAAATAGAAATCCGGTGTATGGGATGCACTTTTGTGCAGATAATTGTAATTTATTTTTAAATAACGTGCCTTTTGCGGTATAAGATAACTAGGAAAGCATTCCGTTCAAACCGGTGATATGGACCGTCTTTACTGCAATGAAGTGTCAACCTTTTTCTCCGTGTTAAAGACCAAATTGAACATGTAACTTTGAGAAAAGGCTGCAAATACAAACACTGTTCCTTTGCTTTGGATTTTGTCAAATATTTGTAGAGCCTTTTGTCATATTTTAATGTCAATGAATTGTAAACACTTCATTCTGTTCTCGAGGGTATTACCTGCACAGATATGTAATCATAACTTCTGAGCCGACGAAAATCCTTGATACGGTCATTTTTATTTTACAATTACTTGTAAAATATCAAATTATTCAAATTATAAGACTCATGTTTTTGGTGAGTTTTTCCATTAGCTAGTGTTATAGTAAGTTTTGGTGTTGTATATTTATGAACTAGAAATTTTTACTATGCACTGAAGTAAAATCAGAAACTCAAGTGCTCTTTAGATAAACATAAATGATTATTTTCGATACTTTTAGAATCTACTAAGATGTCCAAACGTATATTGTTATATTGACAACTTTTTTCTCTAAGTGCTTAGTTTATTAATTGTACAGTAACTTATTAATATATATCATATGTTGTTATGCATTGTAATAGACACATGTATCCTTAATATCATCTAATTACAAATGATTTTTTAACATTTAAGTTGGTAAAACGTGTTTTAATATAAATTATCTTAACAGAAATAGTAAAATGTTTCAGATAATTCTGCACATAAAAGGAAACTTCAAACGGAATGTTCAGATTTTTGAACAAATTGTATTTCCAATAAGAGAAAGTAAAAGTTTCTACATTTCTAAATATTTGCCCCGTTATTTGCTAAATCTGTTCTCTGACATACTGTATGCTAATGTCATTTTTATTTCTCTGAAATTGTTGAAAAAAGATAAACTGTAACATTTTAAGGATGTTCGCTACTCAGCTTCAAAATAACAAGTTTTTATAAAAGACTTATAGATTGATAGTATATAAATAACAGAACTAAGAAAGCAGAAAAAAAATGAGAAGTCTGTGTCCTTGTTGTTGAGATATAAGCCATTACTTTTTTCTTGTAAAAACTATGAAAAATAACAAGGATTTTATAAGATTTAAAAAAAATTTGCTTTTTAAACTATAAGTAATAAAATTAAGAAAAAAATGAGGGGTTAGCGGGCAAAATTTCAGTTGACACTTCATGAATTAAACTACAAGAATTCTGAATATCTGACAAAAATTCAAAAAAAAGAGAAGCGAACAAACTTAATAATTGTTGTTTTACACCATCTACAACAAAAGTAGAAGTAATATATATTTGCAAGATTTTATCCGCTAAACAATTCGGTTTCTATTAACAATGACTTATTTCATCGATCTTTTCAATTGAAGACGACATATTGGTAAAAAAAATTAATCAAAATAATAAAATCATGATGTTATTTAATTTTGAACCATTTCATGGGAATGTTTATAATTTTTCGTCAGTTAAAAGTAAAATGATTTACTGTACTTAATTCATAATGATTCGACATATTTTATTTATCTGAAATATCTAACCCTGTTTGTATACTTTGTGAATCATAAAATGTTCAAAGTAAAATGCAAAACACTGATATTAAGCTGTCAAACTCGATTCATCCACGCTTCTGTATGACGTTTAAACCCTGTCCAATAAGAGTATTATTATTACACGGTAGTACTCAAACAACATTATGATTCCAATAGCTTCTTATTCGTGCTTTCACTCAATATTTGCCCAAGGCAGTAAGCTTCAGATAAGATTTATTTATCTAAAAAATGTAAAAAAAGTTATACGTGTGCAAAGGGAAGTAACAATTTTACCCTTTTACACATAACAGATTACTGAAAAAAACCTTTTAAGCTCTGACCTCAAATTATCAACTACATCCAAAATATTTTGTTATTTAGCAGTCATGCATCTTTTATCATTACCATCAGAAAAACCAGCTTACCGACACTGTACAGTATGTACAATGAAGAAATGAAAAACTTTATCATAATAGATTATATTTTACTAGTGTTATTTTTGTCACCATTACAAATTTTAATACCATTAAATTACATTCATTATTTAGTTTGATGTTTATTTTATTTCAAATATATATTTCTGTTCATAACCACAAACTTACTCTTTTTGTATAAGGCATTACCCAACTAACGAAAGCTGTACTATTATATAACCTAGTTATATTTGTATAAGGCATTACCCAACTAACGAAAGCTGTACTATTATATAACCTAGTGGTCTAAGGTGTCGAATTCCTTGAATGTAACAAAGATAAGTCCATGCATATCTCAACCAAACCACATATACTAAAACGATTAAAGTGATTCTGTTTTGCCATATTGTGAAATTATTGGTGTCTTTGTAACATGAAAATGAAGTTTAGAAGGTAGTAAGAGGTGATAGAAAAGTTTTGTGTTGACTACTTTCATCTCGTGTCTCATTTGCTCAAAGATAAAGTGTTAATTATGAATCAAACTAGTTAAAAATTTAAAGTTAAATCGAAAAATGACGTAAAGCACTTACAAAATCTGTCTACGATCGTTTTTGACATACTCATTGATAACAATGGACTACTTAATAGTTGCAACCGATCAATATATATCAGTACCATACAATTTTTGAAAAATTGAATGCGCTAGGTGAACAAAATTAATGGTGCCCATTGTGATTCCAAACGTATGCTTGAAGAAACAGTAAGTTGATATAGAAGATCGTATTAATATACTTGTCCATTTCCCGTCCACGGAATTCCGAAGGTAAACTGGATATTAAAAGAGGAAAGTAACCTAGTAGTATAAGGTGGTCTTAACAATATTACTAGTCATATCACAATCAGTAACATGATAAAAACGGTAACAGAGTTAGGTGGACTATTGAGGGATAAATAGGTCTCTATAAAACTTAGACACTAAGAAACACTTCTATGGAAAAATCGTCATCTAACTGATCATGAAACGCCGGTTTCTAATCAGGGGTGGATTCAGGCGGGGGCGTGGCGGGCGTGCGCTCCCCCCCCCTAAAAATTTGCAAAAACTGGGTTGTCCTCAGCTTAATAAAGAATATTTCGATAATTTTACCTCAAAAATCGGCGAAAATTTAAGTTTGCAGACCCCCCCCCCCCCCCACCTAAAATCCTGGATCCGCCCTTGCTAATCATTTCTGTATTAACAATCACGTACACCTAATGTGTTGGAGTGATGAATTCAGTATTTCTTTCTAGCTAACCATTTCAAATAGAATTAATACCGCCGTTTGTTAGCATGTTACCCTCGAATGCCTGAGGTCGTAGGTTCGAACCCCGGCCAGTTGAAAACAAGTTGAAAATTAGTATTTACTGCTCCTTCGCTAAAAAAGCGGAATTTAGGAGTAAGACCAAAGACTGGTCGCCTCGGAGTCATACTAATGTGTCCGGGTAAGGTGACATGTCTTGCTGCGGACTGTTACCTTGTGATCTAGCACATTAAAAATCCGGCTCAGCGTGTCGGTCTAGTACTAAGCAGGGTTTATATTCATATCGTTTTATCATGTTCTTGTTCTGACTATACATGTAGTTAAACAGCCATCCATCCATCGATCGAATATGATTTAAAACATTACACTTCTATTTTTAAATTATAATGAGATCATGCTCTGGAAAAACAAAGACATTGAGATAAGAGGACATACTTGTTAATAGTTACGTTAACTACTAAGTTCACTTTGAGTGGCAAAGATTGATTGAGTTAATGCCTTACTTTCAGTCGCAAATATTTCGATTAATGCAAATTCAAGACGAGTGTGTGTTAAAGAATTTGCTTTTAGTTGTAATAACACAATATTATAAAATCTTTCAAAAAATGTGTTAAATGAAGAAACCTTTGTGTCTTAAAATTGTGAATAAATATATAATCTTAAATGAATGGATTCTTTTTAAATCACAGATACATCGGATTTAACCATACATACATCTGTCATATCAGGAAATGGTTATTGCTTACATTACACGAAGTAATATGTAAAACCTAATATATATCATATTTATTGTATTATCTAGACTGTGCATAAATAGACATACATATTTTGTACATATATACAAGGACAACAAAGCAATCATTAATTATGCATTAGAGTCAAAACTGGGACAAAATCGTATCATCCTTTTGCATCAACCTGCAAAAAAAATAAGTGAAAGATAATTTGTTAATAACTAATAAATCATTTGTACATGTAGTGATGATTATGGCGTGTCAAATGTTGCAATATTCACAAACAATAAACTATATGTTCATAAAATTAAATAATTGTTCGTAAAACCAAAATATATATATTAAAAAAAATCAAAATATGTGTTCATAAAATAAATAATATATGCATAGAACATAAATAATTGTTTAAAAAAGAATATTTGTTCTTAAAAAATTTATATATGTTCATAAAAAACAAATAATTGTTCATAAAAAGGAAATACGTGGTCATAGAAATAAGTAATTGCTCATAAAAGTTAAATATCTTTTCATAAAAAGTTAAATATATATTCATAAAAAGTTAAATATATATTCATGAAAAGTTCAATACATATTCATACACACAAGATTATCATTCAAAAAAATAAAAAATATGTGTTAAAAAAAATAAATATATGTTCTAAAAAATTTATAGATACGTTCAATAATTTGCATCATGGGATACCTCGTTGTTTTTGTAACAGTGTATTTGATTGGGTATGCCCTCAAACCGGACCGGACCGGACGCAAGACCCAAACTGAGAAAATTAAGGGGGAAAAGTGTTTCAATTTACTAGCATTAGGTTCTCCTTTTGTGTACCCTACCAAGGGGAATGAAGTTATATTTTTGAGCACCGGAATTGGATGTATTGATACTATATATATTTTATTTATGTTAAATTGAAGATTGTATACACAAAATCAAATACACTGTTACATAAGCAACGAGGTATCCCTTGATGCAAATTATTGAACCGTTTTTATAAAGTTTTAAGAACATATATTTTATTTTATGAACACAAATGTTTTTTTATAAAATTTGTGTGTGTATGAATATGTGTTGAACTTATCATGAATATATATCTAATGTTTTATTAATATTTATCTAACTTTTATGAACAATTATTTATTTATATGATCATATATTTCCTTTTATGAACATTTTTTTTGTTTTCATGATCATATATAAAAAAAAAATTTAAGAACAAATATGTTTTATATGAACAACTATTTATGTTTTATGCATATATATTTTTATTTTATAAACACATATTTTGATTTTATTAATATATAATTTGTTTTCATGAACATATATTCGTTTTTTGCGAACAATTATTTAATCTTATGAACATATATTTCATTTTTTGTGAATATTGCAACGTTTGACACGCCATAGATGATTATAAATTCGAGGCATTTTTCATTATAACCTAGATCTACACCTTTATGATTAAGAAACGGTAATTCATAGAAATGGTAAAATAAAATAATCATTTTTTTCGCGTAGACATTTCGTTAAATATCAGCCGCTCATTACAATGGGGGGATTGCTTTTTTATACCTGTATGCATGATGCTATAAGGTTCAGTCTTTTATACCTGTATGCATGATGATATAAGGTTCGTTCGTTTATACCTGTATGCATGATGATATAAGGTTCAGTCTTTTATACCTGTATGCATGGTGATATAAGGTTCATTCGTTTATACCTGTATGCATGGTGATATAAGGTTCAGTCTTTTATACCTGTATGCATGATGATGTAAGGTTCAGTCTTTTATATCTGTATGCATGATGATATAAGGTTCAGTCTTTTATACCTGTATGCATGATGATATAAGGTTCAGTCTTTTATACCTGTATGCATGATGATATAAGGTTCAGTCTTTTATACCTGTATGCATGATGATATAAGGTTCAGTCTTTTATACCTGTATGCATGGTGATATAAGGTTCAGTCTTTTATATCTGTATGCATGATGATATAAGGTTCATTCGTTTTATTGTACGCTCTTTTCTAAGTTTTAACAGTTGGTCCATCTCTAGATCTGTTATATTTTGTTTTTTGTGTATTGTTTTGTTATAGATCAGGCCGTTAGTATTATCGGTTAAATTGTTTCACCTGTCATGGTTTTTTTTAATAGTTGATTATACGGTATGGGGTTTGCTCGTTGTTGAAGGCTGTATGGTGACATATAAGTGCTTCAATCCATATCATTTAAACTCTGTTTGATAATTTCTTATCAAAACCACTTAATATCATTCATACCACATCTCTCTAATTCACTTTTCAATGTCATCCAAGAAAAGTATATTGATCTATGAATTTGTTTGAAAAAATACCTTCATTTTCTGCTGAGCATTTTGTTGGACATTTTTCTGGAACATTTGGCGATGAACACTTTATTTTTGGTGACTGACACATCCAAGATTCCGTAATAACTGCACTTCTACGAAATCTCCCCGCTATATCTGTAATCAAAAATGCTTATTTTGTAAAAAGTTACAAATTATACTACAGCCAGTTTTGGGACAAATATGAATGGAAAGTTCTGTTGGTCAAAATCATATAAGACTAGCTCAATTACCAAATCAACCGTCTTTAAGTTAATAAGTTAATATATATTCGGGCATATTCCATACGTCTTAAACTCTATGAAGCTTTTTTACAGATTGTATTTATAAACTAATTGAAAAATAGTTAAATGTTTTTCCTTCAATCTCGGAAATCTAGCAGCCAATTTCAAAGAGTAATGCAGTGTATTGAGGATTTTTTTCTTTAGTTTAGCTCAAACCTTACTTGCACTCTATTTATCATTTTTAACTTTACCTTGACCTGCACATAAACCATTTATGCAAGAATCCGTGCCTGACGGACATCGGGTGCATGGGGGACCTGGCGTGAAAACAGGCTGTCCAACTATATTTCCTCTGAAAATACGAATAACAGTCATCATATTTTAAAAGGATCTAGAAAAATCAACATTTTAACAGAAAATAGTACAAAATATTTTAATCCGGTCACAAGCTCTTTTCCCTGTGCCGATTCCTCGTCAGTTGTAATCCTTAGTTTCATGTAAATTGTAATACAAAGATCTATCATCATTATCAAAGTCCTTAAATGACAAAAACATTAAGATATGACATAAAAACAACACACATTGGGGTAACTTACATTGGATAGGCACATGAGCATATGTTTAACTTGAGTTTAACTAGTTTAGTATTATCTCAACCCTCCACTATGTAATTTGTTCATTACTCTTCGCAAACATGAAATTTATAATGTGTTATTTTCATTTTGCTTCTAGATTCAGTTTAGCGAAGAGTTAAACAAATCACATAGTGACAGTCACTTATTGGTGAAGACTATATGTTTACATCTAATAAACATTATTTTGATTTTGATTGTAATAGGTTGCTGTCTCATTGACGTATACCCCACATATCATTTATGTCATATCAGTTAGGATTGAAAAGGCATATACTAACTGTGGGCTATAAAAGCAGACAAAATACATGGCATTTCGATAGGTCGATCCTCTATCGTCCACCAACACTGGACAATGACTTAGAGTACACCCTACACGACTCGTTCGTGACCATACCAACTGAAAATAAGAGTTGCATGAATTGAAATGATTACAATGTTAAACACTCAAAAATGAAAAATAAAATATTCGTAAAATTATGCGGCTTCTCAAATCCAATGACACAACATTTGAGTGCAGTTTCGGTACACAGCTACTTCTACTCATTTGCTCATTAAGATATCCTATGTGTAGGTTAGTCGTCTATACAGCTAACTTTTGCCCGTCTGGTGTTCTTATTCATAAGCTTGATATATTTAATAACAATTTCCATAATTTAGTTTATATTGCAAGTTTGATGTTAATATCTCTAATATATAGACGAAACGTGCGTCTGATGTACTGATTAATAAGCCTGGTATCTTTGATGAGATTTTTAAGATATCAAGAATGCATTTTATGCCATTCATGCATATATTAGACCGTTGGTTTTCCTGTTTGAATTGCTTCACACTAGTCATTTTGGGGCCCTTTATAGCTTGCTTTCGGTGTGAGCCAAGACTCCGTGAAGGAAGGAGAGTTGTCTCATTGGCACTCATACCACATCTTCTTATTTATATATAGATGAATATAAGTCTTTTCGGATACACATCTTTTATTAATTTTGATCTTTGATACATGTACCATCTGTAATTACTATACGTTTTCCCATTGAATTACGTTTATGTTTCTAAAGTTTGGACTAAAGATATCAATGATCTCTTCTCGTGTAATTGCGGAAGTGAAATAAAAATGCAATGCCTTACTCCATTGTCCTATGTGTCAAGTGTAATCTTTAGTATGCGTCGCTTATTTTGTTTAACTGTTAGCAAACGAAATTATTTATTTTTTTGTCTACAATTGTATTCTGCCTAACAATTACCTGTGTATAATGACAAGCTGCTCCACAAAATTCTCGCCTCTGTCGTGGACTTCTGGCCAACCACAAAGTGATCTCATTATACCAATTCCACATGCCGTCCATAATTGTTTCCCGAGGCCTAGGTGCAGGACCAGTGCTAGACATGAAAGCTAAATTTTCACCGTAACCACGCATCTGATGTTCAAACCTACATCCTTCTGACCACCGTCCGGCACGAGCTTCTAAATCACTATCCCAGTACTTAAATAAAATAATAAGGTCATGTGAAATTAAGAAAAAAAAATGATTACCCTGAAATCTCTTCATAGGACAAAGTTCTAGAATGATATTTTTGCTATTTTCCTTTTTGATTGCTTTATTGCTTTAATAAATACATTAGATAGTATCAAGAGATTCACGCTTGATCAGCGGTCTAGTCATTTAAGGCATTTTGCAAAATGTCTACACTTCTTTCAAAATTAAAGATTTACTTCATGTTTTATTTTTGTCATGAGACGAGTTTGCCGTTTAAATTCAAATGTTTATATCACTTGTCACATATCACTAGTTTCTATAGGCTAACATATTAGATATGATATATATGTTTAAAATCTATTTCAAACTGATACATACTGACCCTTATGTCTGTGTAGAACCTTCAAAATGGTACGCTAAAATAATAAAGTCTGTTCAACACGTATAAATCAACAAAAACAGAGTTGGACTGAACATAACAACTAAGACCAACTAAGGACAACAACCAAACATTGACCATAGTTTTCGTGATTTTTTTAATTGAGAACTGGTACTTTGTATTCAGTACTGATATCATTCAAATATACCGATCTTTGTGATTAAGATATAATGAAATAAATATCCGCTCATTTGATATCAATATCTTCAACTTATATTTGCAAGTCGAATATGTGTACCTACACTGTATTCATATTTGCAACTTACTTTGCACGTCTGAATTGATAAAATGGGTTTTTATGAGTTTTCGAATGAAGCACTTACCATGTATTTCATATCTGCAGCATTTTGCCAGGATCTGAACATATTATGAGTCCTTTGGATTTCCCATTTATATCGGTCTATATTCACCAATAGAGCCGCGGCTTGAATGAAGAATAAACACAAGCCGATGAATATGTGTGATAACATTGTAGTTAGAATTGACGAACACATCATTCGTTGATTGGTTTCCTGAAATTATAAAATTTTAAAAAGTTATAAGTGATTTTTTTAAGTCCAGATTTGAATTTAAAAACATTTGATATTTATGTATTTTACAGTTTCATTTTAACTAGTCTAAGAATAGAAAATGTTCTAATTTCCCATATGATTTTTAAAATAATCCAAGTATTACTTACTAAGAATTACTTCTTTCCTTTTCTTCACTTCTTCAACTTTATGAATGAAAGGAACAAACCTGGTCAGTATTTATACAACAAGAGCTAATCTTGTTAACAGGAAAAAAACCAAATCAAGGTCTTGTCACAATTAACATTGCCAACCACAAATTTGTTTTTCCTTGTTTGTTGTGGGCACATAAGGTTCCGACACCTTCTGCATAAATCATAACAATAGCTTTAAATGTTTTGTTTATGTTGCCGTTGAACCGTGCAAATCTCGTTTCGAAGACTTTCATGGCAAATACATGTATATATATATATATAGATTCTACCACTGCATCGAGTGTGATACGATATTTATCCACTCGAGACAGTTAAATTTTCAAATTTAAAACGCGAGGCTTGTCGAGCGTTCTAAATATTTAAAATTAAACTGTCGAGAGTGGATAAATATCGTATTACACGAGATTTGGTGGTGGAATCTGTTTCTCTAATGATTTTCAAACAATACGCAGGCAAATTTATTCCTTCTTTTCGAATGATCTGCAAAAAGATGTGTTCTTTCTACGTGACGTTATCAGGCATGGTCGCCTTTTTTCATGCCGTCACAATAGGAAATTCAGAGGAAAGCAAGAAAATTCGACGTCATAATCGGATTTTAACCAATGAAGAACTGAGATCAAACGAACCACACGTTGATTAAATTTTTTTCATACAATGGGTGCAGAAAGGGATAAATTGACGAAGAATTAGAGAAATATATATATATATACTTCGTCTCAAATTTAGCCCAACAATTTAAGATCTGCAAATTTGCGTTATCAAATTTTTGTTCTTCCCTCAGCGGTATTCGAACCCCTGCATCTATATGTTGAGCATATTTGCTTACGCCAATTGACTGAAATTTAAATTAAATTTATAGAATAGTTTAGCACTAAATTAGAATCTCTCCTCCCCCCCCCCCCCCCCCACCCCACCCTAAAAAAAAAAGTCAAAAGTCTTGAGAGTGTTTTGCATATCACCCATTTTACATGTTTTACATTATTAATTCTATATATGAAAAAGTTTGTGTTTAAGCATAGGTAATGAAACCCAAGTGACAAAACTTGTCTTCAGATTTTGTCACACCAATCCTAACCTTCAGGGTTGTCATATTTCACGGATTGTATTTTTACAGAGAGATAATCTTACTCTTCCGAATCACCTCAGATCACCCGCAGTTTTTGGTGGGGTTCGTGTTGCTCAGAATTTGATTTTCTATGTTGTGTTTGGTGTATTGTTGTTTGTCTGTTTGTCTTTGTCCTTTTTAGCCATGGCGTTGTCAGTTTATTTTCGACTTATGAGTTTGAATGTCCCTTATCCTTCGCCTCTCTTTCACTGTTTCTTTGAAAGAGAATATGTACATTTTTACACACAGTCCCGATTGTAGTTCAAAATTAAAATTTGCTATATACAATCACTTTCTTTGAAGCTGAATTTTCGTTGATGTTGTTCGATGAAGAAAATAAAGTTGATGCAACTTCAAAGATAATTAAAGTAATATTAATTTGGGAAAGTTAAATATCTTGCCTGAGAAGGCGCAACTTTAACAGATTTTTGTAAAAATTAAGTTTGCTACGTATAAACAATATTAACAATGTATTTTATTGATATATCTTATGTCAGACAAGATACGACACATTTTAAACACATGGGTACAAACAGTGTTTTGATCCTCTTGTACAATCGAGTTATTTTTTATTTGGTCTGAAGTTAAAAGTAAGGAAATTATTGGTCATCATTTCTGATTCCAGCAGTAATATTGTGTTTTAGTACCATTCAAGTCCTTGTGTACTTGTGCATGAAGAAAACTTTCAAAACTATTTTGGAATAAAATCTATGTATGCTTTTTGTAGTGCCCTCCTTATTCTAACTATAAATATATTTATGAACGGCCATTCACTCTGTTTAAACAACGTTCCATTCATCTTTTGGTGTACAATTACACAAAAAATGAATGACCATTGTCCAGTGTCAGATTTTAGATAACACATAGAACATGTACTACAACAGTAATACATCATTAACCACTGACCGCTACAACGATTTCCTGTTGTGAACAAGCCTAATAACAGGCAATTAGATAGTCAGTAGTAGTAAGTAATGCAAGGTGCTCAAAACACAAAGCTAAAATAATATTTCTAAATTTAGGTACAGGAAACATGTTTTTCGTATCGCATTCTGAAACAACCAAAGACGACAGTGGTGCGGCAGGAAACATCCGAAAATTTACGTAGAAGAAACTCATAGTTCAAAAATTTTGACTGAATTTAGTATAATATTTTCTTACTGTTACATTTACATATATTTAGATGATATAACCGTAATTTGTAATGAAATCATTTACAAATTAAGAAAACTTATTAATATTCAAGTGTACTTTTAATTTACAAGAATCATTCATTTTATGATTTTGTACTTATCATATGGAAAAAATAATAGGTTAACGAAAGCTTATATAGATGTTTGAAAATTTCAAAAGGTGACAATAAAATCGTTTTTCTCAAAAATTACAATTCTTAATGAACAAAACTTCAGAAATCGTCTACTATACCAGATGTATGGGCGCTTGTATTTCAGTAAAGATTGTATGCTGACATCTTGATGTCTTGTTTGTCTTACTCTTCAATTATGCAATGGGATCGCCATCTCATTGAACCCTCATCTCCATCATTTAAATGTATTACAAAAGATAGTTATGAAGTAGCATGTATATACATTTTGTGTCTGTACTAGTCAGACTCTTTTTACCATATGTTGTTTGTGTCTGTACTAGTCAGACTCTTTTTGTACGATGTGTTGTTTGTGTCTGTACCAGTCAGACTCTTTTTATCATGTGTTGTTTGTGTTTAAATGTGTATTTTTCGGAGGAGGGCGTTAGTGGTCGATAATTGTTGATAATCCTGTATATCTTCGCTACACAAACAGTTTTCCTTGATTAAGAAAATGCTCTCTTAGACAAAGAATTTATAAATGTTATATAATTCGATTTCAGGATCAATGATTTATGGACATCCTGAATTCGAATTGTGGAGATCCTGAAATATTTCAGGAGCTCCTTAGATACAATAAGTTTGACTAAATCCGTGCTTTATAATAAAGTGCCACTCATTAATTTAAAATTTTCCAAGTATAAAATGATAATTGGTAATCGAATATTTGGTGTGCGGTATTTGCGCCTGTGTACTATCCTTTTTATACAACCGAAGAGATAAACTATAAAGAGGAGAACTTGGAAAACATAAAAGATTCCTTATAGATACACAATATATGAATAACCACTGTCCAGTATTATAACATAATTCTGTCAAGCCATATCAGGCTTTTGGTTAACACATAAACCATGTTCTACAACACAATATAACATTAACAACTGACCACTACAATAGCTTCCTGTTGTTAACAATCTTTGTTACAAGCAATTAACTGGTCAGTAGCACGAACAAGCCAGAGCAATGGCAAAAAGATGGTCAGTAGTACATGCCACTTAGTCATTAAAGAACCAAGTAAAACAATATTTCTAAATAAGAACCCTTTTTACTTTATTTCTAAAGAGCCAATGAGATTGACCACCCCCTGAACAATGAGGGTATGTTGATTAAGGAAGAAAAAATTAAACAAGGAATAGCTAGGCCATATTCGGACCACAAAAGAGTTTTTTAACGCGAAGAGAACGTTGCACTCACCTTCCCCGAGGCATCGGAGTAGATGTATTCCATTCCGACGGATATAAATGCTTAACTACATATGTGCCAACTCTAAATAAAATTTACTTACTTATGTTTATATATCCAGAACAACAAAGGGAACACGGGAATACCCCCTCTTTCCACACATAAAAGAAGCAAAACAAATGCAAAAAACACACCGAATAAAAAAAAAAACAAAAAAAAACAAAAAAAAACACACACACACACACACACAGAGGAATAAATGGTCATCTTTTTTTTATCATTTAAGGAAATAGGCATGCGTATGTAATGTCATTAAAAGCTTTTAATCTTTCAATAATTATTCGTACTTTGTTTCTTTATTATAACAGTACATACATGTGCTATGGAGTATGTATACATACCAATAAGATCTTACGGAACCATGTATCACATGTCCTTTACTGATTAAACAACAAAAATAGTTCCTTGTAGTCGAAATCAAATCCATGTCAATATGAGAGAAGTTTTTATAAGTTAGTGGATGAAAGTAGAATAACTGCATTTGAAATGCTTTTTATATCACATTTCTAGCGAATGATATATCTTCAAAATAAGGTGGATGTTTTGACATATTATTTTCTATAATGGGTGTAAAAGTTCCTTATTTGATATCAAGAAGAACTTGGACGCTTTTCGTGACAGACACCTTGTTAGTTTATACTTTTCAAATAAGTTGTATTTTGATGTAATCCGAATACGCTTTCAAAGTATACTGACATTTCAATACATTTATAATGATGATATTTGCATGAAATATATGCAATTCTATCATCTTATTATGATTATAATTATTAATATTTTCACTTGGTGTCACTATAATTAGTTTATAACCGAGTATAAAATGTAGCCTGTTTCATATGATATGAATGCCAATTAACATCGCTTGGTATATGCAATAACAAATAGAAACAGCGCAGAAAAA